CACCGCGCCGGCCTGGAGAGTTCCTCGCCTGCGCTGCGCAGACTCGTGGAGAAGGTGGAGGGCTCGTCTGCAGCGGAGGTGTACGGGTTTTACTGCCATGCAGGACATTCGTATGCGTGCCGGACGGAGGAGGCAGCGGCAGCGGTGTTGAGGAGTGAAGTGGATGGTGTGGTTCGTGCGGCGGAGTATCTTCATAGAAAGGAGGGAAGGAAAGTGGTGGTGTCGTTTGGATCGACGCCGACGGCGCACGTGGTGAATTCGCTTCGAAAGGCGTTGCCGGAGGGGATGGAGGTGGAGTTACATGCTGGTATGTTTGTCTTTAACATCTTCGGGTCGACGCGTTTGATGCGAATGCTGGTGCTGATGCTGAGTGTGTAGGAAACTTCCCCGCCAACGACCTTCAGCAGGTCTGTACCGGCCTCGTGGCCGAAGACCAGCAGGCGGTCCGCGTCCTGGCGGAGGTGTGCAGCGTGTATCCTGAGCGTAATGAGGCGCTTATCAACGCGGGGACGGTCGCGCTGACCAAGGAGACGAGCGAGGTGGTGGGCTTTGGGCGGGTGACTGACCGGCCTGGTTGGGCGGTTGTGAGGATGGCGCAAGAGCATGGGATTTTGGGGCTGACGGATGCGTCGGCGGGTCAGAGAGTCGAGGAGGTGTTTCGTGTGGGCCAGAAGGTGATGCTGTATATCCAGCATGCGTGTATTACTGCTGCCCAGCATCATGTGTATTACGTTGTTGATGAGGGGGATGTGGTTAGGGAGACCTGGGTTCCGTGGAAAGGATGGTAGTTACTGTACGCATAGGATAAGATTGATCATTATAATGGATATATAACACAGATCACAAAAGCCAGAAAAATAAACAAGATCCCAGAGAAGTCGTACATAAAGGAGTGGTACCTCGAACGTATAGCAATCTGTTCACGGTCACAGTCATGGTCACGGTCATAGTCATAGTCATAGTCGGATCCATTGCCAAGGTCGAACTCATTAGTCGTCATTTTCTCCATCATCATCCTCCACGGATGCTGTTTTTTTCCCATTGCTCCCATTCGTAACCCCGTTCCCATTCCGTTCAGTCTCCGTCTCCTCCTCCTCACCATCTGCCTCATCCCCTTCCTCCGGCCCCGGCCGCGACTGGCGCTGGACACTTTTCCCTTTAACATTTGCCGGCTTCACAGAGTCTCCCGCCTCGCTCCTCAATTCTGCTCCGGACTCCTCCACGAGCTCGTTCTTCCCATGCCTGCCCTTGTGCTTCGCATTCGCCGCACGAATCAGTCGGTTATGGTAGTGTCGCTGCTCCGACTCCGGGTCCTCGGTCAGAATCCTCCGTGCGGCCTCCTTTCCGACAACCGGCAGCCGATCGACACCCTCCACTCCCTGCGGCACGAGCTTGGGGTCCAGCAGTCCGATCTGGACGAGGACGCTGGCTTGGTCCCAGTAGACGTGTTCCGAGTATAGCTTTCCGCAGCGCACGCTCACGACGCTGACAAGGATCACTTCGACTTTCTTGTTGGTTGGTGGAACACCGGGCAGCATCCAGGGGATCTCCTGGGTGTGTTCGAATGAAGCGTAGAGCTCGTCTACGACGCGGTCAACGCCGATAGTCCGTGAGAGAAGACGCAGCCGCATCGATGGTGGCAGCTTGCGGAGGAAGTGATGTTCGTAGAACCGACGTAGGTCGCGCGGTCCAATGCCTCCGCTCATGGTCGGAGCGTAGGTGACGTTTGGGGTGAGATGGTCGACATACTGCTCCATTACGTTGTTAAGATTCATAGAGAAGAATCTCGCTGTCGACGTCAGTCATCAGGCTTTTGCATCGAACCCAAGGCAACATACCCTCCAGATGTTCTTCCCACCGCTTCTCAAGGTCAGTCTTGTCTGTAACTGTCGACCGTATCACCTGCAGCGAGCGGGAAAAGGCCAACTCGGCTGCCAGGCGATCGTACTCTTCCAGGTCGTGCTCTGCAAACCCCGGCTGCACGTTATCATAAGTGTAGGCTTGGTGTCCAATGTTGAGACGCTCCCCTGTTCCAATGCCCTGGTTGATCCGTCTCGTAGTTCGACGCTTCTTCCCTTGCAAGCCCAATGCCGTGGGCACGGTCGTTACATCTACCGTTTCACCAGCAAGATGTGTCAAGAAGCGGACGGAGGGAGGGAACGACGAGCGCGGATCGGGAATGTTGGTTGGATAGTATGATACCAAAGCGCTGAGACGGCTAGCGTTTGTGGGTTTGAGATAGAAATCCAGACAGAAGGAAGCGGCATCACCGAATGCTATTGCCAGTTAGTTTATATACTCCAGTATACGTGTATTGGGATACGCAATGCACCCACCGATAACGGCATAGTTGACCCCTACGCCCAATCCCTCCTTGACGGACTTCAATTGACTGGTATATTCCTTCCCTCCATCATTATACGGAAGGTACATCACCTCAAAACCCTCATCCTGCCATTGACGAATGAACGCAGTGTCAAAGTCCGGTGTTTCGGCCGTGATGCAGATACGAGTCTTTGCTAAGCTGGAGTTGTAGAGAAATCCTCCGCTCGCACCACCAGCGTTGATAGTGAGGAGGGACATGATCCTCGGGTGTTGTGCTGAAGGTTTGATCAAAAGTCCTGGTTGTTGTATACGCCGTATATATAAGGGGCGAGCCCACGTGGAAGAAAAGGATGACAATGAGATTATGGAAGAATGTCCAAAATTCTGAATCAGTGGTTCGAAAGGGGATTATCTACCAGATTATTTGGTTCCGTGGACTGCGCTGCTGTGCTTCCTACGTCATCCCCAATGAAGCGACTCTCCCGCAGCCACTACGTCATTGTATCTTCACCAACATCATCCGATTTCTGCTTCACCTCGATAGGCTCAACTGGTTGACAGAATATTAAATGAAGTGACAGTTGTCATTCAGAACGATCAAGAAGGTTGATCTTCTCGTGCACGACTTATGCTGTTCACAACTGGGTCAAGAGGAGAGATATACTGATGTGATGGAAGCTCGACAGATCCAGCAACAAGATTGACGATACCAACGACACCAATCTAAAGTCGAAAGACAGCCATACTCCACATGCCGACCTAAGGTATGGACCCAAGTTGTTTGACAGTGGCGAATGCCTGTCATGTACGGAGTAGAGCGGCAGAGGAACAGGTAATTCGTTGTTCTACCCATGGATGACACTCATCTCCGTAGTGTCTCAGGCACCCTAATCCTCCGCTCCTCTGTCTCTCTCGTGTTATTGCTGAGAAGCACACATATTTCCAGGCAATCAGATCAGGTTTTCGATCACCCTCGATGTGTCAAATGATGCGGTGGTGCGTTTGATAATGTTCACAAAACTAGATTCAGCAACGCATGTTGGAGCAAACGCGTACACCAGTTCGTCTTGAGAATATATTTCTATTTTCTATCGATACATCACTGTTTAGCGACGCATAATTGTACTGCACAAATATTAAGGATGCACAAACAGTGAACTCATTATTAAAGCGCTGACTCCGTACACTTTTGTCACCTAAAAATAGTTCTCATGTCTGTGTACAGGGTACAGATAATCGCGCCTTGGCGTAAACGCCCTCACGACTAGCATGTGAGTCGATATCTTCAGCTCCAGCGTCAGCAGGCCCATCTGTTATCATCTCCATTACACTGGCTTCAGTCGATATCGCTTTTATTTAACCAAGCTAATATCCACTCACTCTACAATGGATTCAGACAAGGCATGACATAACTTCCCCGCCTAACCTTACCCCGGACCTACACGAGATGCTGACAGCTACCCTCCCAGAATCTACCTCCTCCTCCCCCTTACAACGATGGAAGTCCTTTGAACATGGAACCCAGCGCGCCAAAATATACTCCGTATTCCGATGCTCCTCCTACGAGCATCACGATTTCGCCCACATTTCAGCGTTTAGAGCTGGATCCCCGCGACACGATCTACCCTTCCTCTCCCTCGCCTGCTCTGGCGAAGAAAGTCGGGCGCTTGTGTTGTGGTGTTCTTTTTGGGTTTGTGATAGCGGTGGTGCTTTTTCACGTGTGGCTTTATTTGGCGTTTCAGAGCTGGAGGTTTTAATCGCTGTCCTGTAGCCGGTCGGTGTCTTGTGTATATAGGAAAATGGTATGTTTTGATTAAGGACTCCCAAGGTGTTAATGGAAGAAGTCCTTTATGGCCGAGGTCTCGCACCACCGACCGTTCAGTATCTATGACATCTCCTTTTCACTATCACTTCCCACGGCAAGAACTGGTCAGCATCATCGAAAGCTCGCATCATGTATGAAATTGTCGATGACAGCTTGTATGCGTCGAGTTCTGTAGGTTTGACACTCCACTCAGGCGATAGCGCATTTAGCGGTCGCAAGTCGTATTACAGCGGAGAAGTTGGGCAATTCCGGCTGCTTGGTACATCGCAGAAGATCCATCCCGATTCTTTAGCCAATTACTCCGTACTCTGTATTCATCTAGAAAATTGTCAATGTATATCGTAGTGACAGGTTTGGAGATATTTCAGTCATCCCTAGGACAGGTGTGACCGAATTGTTGTCGATATCTGATGGATCGCTGGAATGATCGATAAGATGCTCACATTGACCATGGTTAAATGGTCCTTTGGTTGATAGTGCGATGACGGCAATTGGTCCAGTTCTAGAGCTGTGAGCCGAGCTCAGCTCCAATAGGTGAAACAGCCATGAATTGTAGCCGAAGGGAAATAGTATCATCAATTATTTAATTATTAGCTGAAGGAAGACAAGCTGTCAGTCATTAACGTCATATGCCCCATCGAAAATTTCTTTCTGTGGGGTTGCTGTGAGCAGGGAACATGACCGAAGCTTCGACTGGCGGGAATGAGTAACCTTCGCGCCCCTCATAGGTTCCAACCATCACCGCGCTTTCAATTCTCAACGCACGTCGCAATCAGAGGTATTATCTTTCAAGAGAGCATCACGCTCATCTCGTGTTGGGTTTACTGACATTGACCAGGCGTCAAAGGCCATGTCTTTGGTGCAACATGTCTCTGCAATTGACGGCGTGGACCGCGAAATAGAACCAGACCTTCGTGACGATGAGACCATAACCACCTACCATGACGAATCCTTAGTGCCGATCCGACGCAAAATTAGCTACGATGTTCTACATGAGCGCCAACAACCGGTGACAGATGTCAAGTCGGGTACTCCGGCGTACGAGGTCTCGACTGCGATTAGACTTGGTATGCAGATTCGTCATTTTTGCTTTTCTTCCTTCCGTCGATTGAGGATAGGACTCTGACCTAGTTTAGTCCAGGTCATTATCACGATCCTCGCTTGTTGGTTCGCGTCTGGAATTGTGTTCGGCTTCGCTGCTCTGAAGCCTGTCCTGATCGACCAAGGCGTCTACCGCGACCTTTGCACGAAAGAGGAATTGCGCGATGGTGTAGAGGTTTGCTTTGAGCAAGATCTTCGGTATGTTCTTTTTACAAGATTATCTATTTTCTCCCTTGGCTGAACATCAATCCTTCAGGCTGAATTTCTTCTTCACCATTGGCTCCATCACCGCCAATGTATCTGCTCTGCCGGTCGGGACCATCCTCGACCGATATGGTTCGCGCCTGTGTGGCTTCATCGGGTCCGCTCTGCTTACCGCTGGTAGCTTGTTGATGGCGCTTTCATTTTCGCGACCGGATTTCGATGGGTACATCATTGCCAACTTCTTCTTAGCTCTTGGAGGGACATTCATCTTTGTGCCCTCGTTCCAGATCGCGAATGCGTTCCCCAAACGTGCGGGCATCATCGTCGCTCTGGTTACTGGCGCATTTGATGCGTCCGCTGCGGTGTATTTATTTTACCGAATCCTCTATGACAGCAACCCGGAGACTTTCACACCGCAGAGGTTTTTCCTAGGCTACGTGGCGGTTCCGATCTTCCTTCTGGTTGCCTTGATTACGATCATGCCTGCGAAAGATTATCAGTCGTCGCATCAGCTGGAAGTCAAGATGGAACAAGCCAAGGATCCTACGCGGGATATCCACGAGTCAGACCAGGAGATTGAAAGCGACTCGGAGCTGCGACGGGTGCGAAGTAAACGAGCCGAAGAACGCATGGACGATATGCGCATGATCGACCGAGTCCTGGGTGATGCCGACGAAAGAAGGCATCGCGAGGAGCAGGAAGAGGAGCGCCATGCGACCAGTGTCGTCTGGGGTGTCCTCCATGGCTTGCCCGCACGCAAGCAGATGGCCACGCCGTGGTTTATTCTGATCACCATGATGACTGTCCTGCAGATGCTGCGGATGAACTACTTCATCGCAACCATTCGGGCCCAGTACGAGTTCATGCTGGCTTCCGACACGCAGGCTGAACAGATCAATGAGTTCTTCGATGTCGCCTTACCGGTGGGTGGTGTCTTTGCCACTCCGTTCATCGGTCTGCTCTTGGATCATTTGAGCGTTCCGAACATGTTGACGGTCATTGTCATTCTGACAACGCTCATTGGAGCCCTGAACTCGGTGCCAGCAGCTTGGGCCGGTTACACCACCGTGACGCTATTCGTCCTGCTGCGCCCTCTGTACTATTCAGCCATGTCGTAAGTTTTTCTTTTTCGTCTCCTGTATACTTTCGTGGGCTGACCTCGGCTAGGGACTACGCCACCAAGGTGTTCGGCTTTGCAACATTTGGGCGCGTGTACGGGACCATTATTTGTGTGTCCGGCTTGGTGAACTTCAGTCAATACGCGCTGGACGCATTGACACACGGACCGTTCGACGGCAACCCAATCCCTATCAACATCTTCCTGGCAGCCGCTGGGTTCGTGATAGGTACAGTACTTGTTTCCTATGTGCAGATTGCCGGTAGACGCTTGAGCGAGAAGAGACTGGCCTTGGAGGGGGAGGAAGAGCGAGAACGATTAATTCCGATTGACGAGGAGGATGTTTGACCTTTCTCTCAGGTCTGCGATGATTAACTTTATTCTTATCTGCTATGCGATAAGAGTCGTAATTATTATTTGACGGATAGACTGCCATGCTGCCAATATACTCTGGATGTCTTCTACCTAGTTTTACCTAGGTCGGACATCTGCCTGGCCAGCGGCCACATGGCCTGAACCAGAACAACGACCATAGTTAGATAGCTACCCCATTCTTAGTCCTAACACGGTATCAACCAAACTCAAATCGAAACTCAATTTCACAGATGTCTGACTTGCTCAGCTCTCGGCCGGAAATCTCCTAATCACCCATTCACAGGACCCTCTACACCATCTACGATTGACAAAGTGGCCAGTCAGTGGACAGTGGAGACTMCTAAAACTCCCGACGACAAGCCACCTGAAACTCAAATCGCAAAATCCGGGGTAAGCACCAGAACGGGTAGATATAGGCGTGGTCCTGTCAGGCGATTGTCTGATCTCGGTTGCCAGATGGCAAAGTAGTTAACCAGCAGGGAAACTCTAAGCTTGTTTACGAGGTTGCCAAGGTGCGCCAAGTCTGCCCAGAAAGTAGTCTTTTGGTAGTACGGAGTAGCCTGGTTCGCTTTCATTCCTGTATATTTGATAGGTGGTATCTGGCTGTGGTGGATTGGTTAGCGGTCTGGGCTGCGACTAGGCTGGAGTCCTGGGCCAGGACACGGGGACTTGAAGAAAGACAAGGGAATCCTGTGCTGTGCTGGATAGTTGCATTTGCATTTGCATGCATTTGGGAGAGTTTTGGCCAATAGAGGAGTACCTTGATCCTGGTATGGATTTAAGGTTGATATCTAGAGACTAGACCAGGGTTGTGCCTAGGTTATGGGTGAAAATGGACAGGGTTTCGAGATAGCTGCCTTATCTAAATACCTAAGCTACATAGCTACAAAGGAGACGCAAAGAGAGGTAAAAGAAACCCCTAAAGCAGCCACAATTGGGTTTGACAACTTGGCGCTGGTGAACGCGGGGTTCTATACTGAAGTTGAACAGGCACTCTGCTAGTTGCTGAAGACACGTCGACTGCGGAGTGTGGAGACGGACATTAGTAGAGTGGCGATTGGCATGGGAATGTCTACATGTTAGTGTCAAGTTGATTGAGTCCGTACCTTATCATACTTGGTGTCGTACAGTCTTCCAAATGAGGTTGTATCTGCAGGACAGCGACCAGAGCTTTCCACTCATCCATCCATGGACACAGACCGTTCTATTTCCTGCATCCATCCAGATTTTCTCTTTTACTCTGCTCAACCTCCATGCTCCACCTGACCGTGTAACTTCCATCGTGAAACCTTAAACAGCTTGGTCCTGATCCCGCCAAGCTGCCAAGGGCCACTGTTAATGTCAAGTGTCTCTCTTCCCCCGCATCCAGACCTCTCCGGATCGTCGTGGTGCGCCGCTCTCCACATACCCCAGCGAAAATGCTGAGGAGCAGTTTTGGTTTCCCCTATTTTGCCTGAGCTGTACTTGCCAGCACCGAGGTATTTTGCCAAACCAGGTCGGCTATTGCTCTGTTCTATTTTGCGCTGTCGGTAGTTGTTTGTGTCTACACTCCACACGCACGAATTAGAATCTGCTGAGGCTGGCCAGATCGGAGGTGCTTCAGATAGAGGGGCAATTGTCTAAATCGTGCTATTTGACTCTCATAGGGTCTGCGATCTGCAAGGTATATCTATCTGTGTCAGTCCCGCCGATCTGAGACTAAACCAGCAATCCTGACTGACAGCTCAACCGCAATTGCAGAAACCAGACAAAACAACCGCAATGTCACCTCCTGCCAGCGAGAAGCCTGGCAGCGTGGAAAATATCGAAGATGTCGGCCAGCGCGCTCTCGACAACGTTGACTATGACGAGGAATACTCGTACGAAGAGCAGCGCAAGATCATCCATCGCATTGACCGGCGGCTGGTCACCATGACGGGTCTCGCATACTGCATCTCGCTGATGGACAGGACGAATCTCAGTATGGCTGCTGTGGCGGGGTATGAGACCTTTGACTTCATCAAATGTGTTGGATGATGTTAACTTGAGCAGTATGATCAAGGAGTTGGGATTGCATGTCGGAACGAGATATGTATGTGTGACGTCTCGATTTCAAGTACCTGACACTGACTGAATAGTCCGTCATTGTGCTTATATTCTTCGTCCCCTATGTCATCTTCCAACCCGCCATGACGGTTATCACGAGAAAACTGGGTCCTACATTCTTTCTGGGAGCTATTGTCATTTCATGGGGTGCAATCCTGGTCGTATGTTTCCTCGTTCAGATCGGGGGTCATCAGCCTAATCGCGAGACAGGGAATGGGCTTCACGAAAGATTGGAAGCAAATGGTTGTATGTCGCGTGCTGCTTGGTATTCTGGAAGCAGGGTACTTTCCCGGCTGTGTGTACCTGCTTTCCAGTTGGTATGTCAGATGTAAGTGTCCCTTCGCCCCGGATGGCTGGTGCAGTGTACTGACTTGATCTAGATGACGTCCAAAAGCGCTTCTCTGTGTTCTATCTTATCGGATGTGTTGCTTCAGCCCTGGCGGGTATTCTCGCTTTTGGCTTGTCTCAAATGGCTGGTATCCAAGGCCTGGGAGGCTGGAGATGGATCTTCATCATGGAGGGAGTGGTAAGTTGAGCCCGTAAGACCTAATGCCAGTACTGATGATATAGATCACCGGAGTTATTGGAGTCTTGACCCTTCTCCTGCTCGTCGACTTTCCCGATCGCGCACACAAGTCCTGGCGATTCCTCAGCGAAAAAGAATGCGCCTTTATCGTCCGGCGCATCAACCGGGACCGGTCCGATGCTGATAATGAACCCTTTACTCTAAGACGCTTCCTCACCCCCGCGCTCGATCCTAAGATTTGGGGCTTCGCAATGATTTTCCTGTAAGTTTATTTCCGGCAGTGACTACTCCACCACTGACCATCGCAGCTGCACGACCACCGTCACCTACGCCATCGCATACTTCCTGCCCATCATCCTCCAAGAAGGCATGGGCTACAGCGTCGGCGCCTCCCAATGCCTCGTCGCACCCCCCTTCGTCTTCGCCGGCATCGTCATGTTCGCCTCCGCCTGGGTCGGCGACAAGTACCGCGTGCGAGGCGTGCTCGTCGCCATCAACTCCATCCTGTGCCTGATCGGCCTGCCCATCCTGGGGTTCCACTCGAATAACGCCGTCCGCTACTTCGGCGTCTTCCTCGCCACGGCGGGCGCCAACGCCAACATCCCCGCCATCATGGCCTACCAGGCCAACAATGTCCGTGGCCAGTGGACCCGAGCGCTCTCCAGCGCGACACTAGTGGGATTCGGTGGCATCGGCGGCATCATCAGCAGTCTGGTCTTCCGGTCCCAGGATGCGCCGGGATATCGGCCAGGCATTTGGACGACTATCGGGTGCGCCTCCCTTCTTTTCCTCTTATTTCTGCAGTAATACTAACTGAGGCAGCTCCAATATTCTGATTCTGATCATCGTGGCGGCTATGAGCGTGTGGTTCCGCATCTGCAATAAGCAGGCGGATCGGGGGCAGCGGATTATCGAGGGGTCGGCTGGCTTTCGGTATACGATCTGATCATCTAAATGGATGATATGACTACCTATCGTGGCTTTAGCTAGCTTTCACATAGTAACGCAGTGTAATGAAGTTTTCCTATACTACAAGCTAAGAAAGATAGCTAGCTGATATCATCCTATGCCTAAAGCATAACTCAACCCACATAAAACAAGCCCCGTCAGCAGTCCTTACTTAGTTCGCTAGCCTGATCATGCAACTGCTGTCGTCATGCTCCAGGCTCCAGCCTTAAGCTTATCATAATATAGCCCAGCTTCTATAACATAAGAACTAAGACATTATACCCCGCACTAACCATCCCACTATCCACCATCTATCAGACTACCTATCTAGCTACCACAACCAAAGTTTAAACGTAAGTACACACACAAACACAGCATCAATAAACAATATACTAACTAACTAACTAACCAGCCAACGGCAAAATGCCCTGCACAACCTGCCCAACAACCCACCCCTGCCGGCGCTGCACTGGCACAGGGACCACCTCCGAGCCGTGCCCCTCCTGCTTCGGCAAACGCGGGTTCTTCGAGATGGAGGGTGGCGGCGACGAGGCGCGCGGGGAGTTCCATGCGCCGTACATCTCGATGCAGTGTCGGAGTTGTGATGGCGAGGGGATTGCGTTTGAGCGGTGTACGGATTGTGTTGGGGTGGGATACTTGAGGGTTTATTGTGGGAGGTGTGAGGAGGAGTTTCGGAAGTATCAGGATCAATATCGGGGTCGGGATGGGGATGGGGATAGGAGGGGGGAGAGGGAGATGAATGAGAAGGGGACGAAGATGGGAGAGTTTAATGGGGAGGGTAGATATAATGAGAAAAGGGGTTGAGGGTTTGTAGTACATTTAATGGCCAACTACTTGTTCTTTCTTGATGGCGCTGAATATACCAGGACTTCATTAGACGTATCAACTTGTGACAGCATAGAGCAGCAACCGCTCCGAAGAAGCATGGTCGCTGATGATCCTGATGATCTATTGGTCATCTGCTCGTCAGTCATGCTCATTCAAATCACTAATGTGTGACAGGGATTACTGATGGAATACCCCTTGCCTATACGTACCCGGTGCTCTCGAATCTCTGGCAAACACATTTCTCGCTCTGCGGTTGTACACGGAGACAATGCTCTATCATCAAATACCATAAACCTCTCGACCTTCTGCATATGGCGGAGGAGTCCGATTGGGTCAATAAGGTAAACATGGCTCGCGTGGACGGACGTATCCGCACCTGGGCCAAGGGTTTCCATCCCAAAAATCTTTCGTGCCAGCTGGACGGTGGTTTCCTGAACGGTGCATACAACCTGGGCCAGAAGCTTGTCTTTGACGATAAGACAACCTGGTTTCTCCGCCTCCCTCGAGCTAGCAGCATTTCTCCAGAGTATGCAGACGAGAAGGCGGCCATGGAAGTGGAAGCCATTCATCTGATCCGGGAGAAGACGTCGATTCCCGTCCCAGAAATCTACGCCTGGGGGATTTCAGAGGAAAACCCACTCGGTCTGGGTCCTTTCATGCTGATGAGCTTTATCGATGGCGTCTGTCTTAATGATGTATTTGCTGAAGGCAGTTCAAGACTGCTTAAGGAAGGAATCCCTGATGCCGATATCGAACACGTCTACAGGCAGATGGCGCGCTTTATGTTGCAGCTTTTCAAGATCGATTTCGAACGCATGGGCAGCTTGCCCACCCCAAGGACGAAATTTCCCGCGCCTAATCGTCCACTCACATGGAAGGTACACGAGATCCTGAGGGCAGGAGGTGTCAATACGTTTGGTTTGTGCTATGTGACGAAATAGGAATGTTTACTAACAATCATAGGCGATCGAAATGAGGGTTTCTCTACGACTAGAGAATATTTGCAGTATGTGAACAACCAAGACTGGCAACAACTACGACTACAACCGAATTCAATCGCAGGACCGTGGACTGCCAGATCGAGCTACGCGTCATTGAAGATTTTACAGTCTCTAATACCTGAGTTAACCAATACTACCTACGACCAAGGCCCTTTCAAACTCATCTGTGATGATTTTCGCCTAGGAAATGTGATTGTGCGAAGTAAGGATGACCTTACAATCGCCGGCGTAGTAGACCTTGAGTGGGTTTATGTCGGCCCAGCTCAGTTATTCGGTTCAGCTCCTTGGTGGCTCCTTATGGATCGCCCCGTTAACAGCGAGTGGGACTTCGAAGAGGGAGAGGCTCCGAAAGCCACTGATCGCTACTTTAAATGTCTGGAAATCTATAAGCGTGTGCTGGCTGAAGAAGAGGCAAATATGACAGKAGATCAAGAGAAACAACTCTCCGAACTCCTCCAATGGTCCGAAGACTCAGGTGCCATGTGGCTGCATATGCTTCTGTCGAGCGGCTTTTTCGATACGCCTAGCTTCCCTTGCATGCAATTGCGGAAGCATCGAGGTGCTGAATGGTAGGATGAGCGCATGGATGAGTATAGGGATACAGAGGAAGTGGAAACATTTGTGACTAACAAGCTGGATGATTTAGCTGCATATGACAAGGTCGAGGAGAAGGTTGAACACTACAAAGCCCTCATGGACAGCAAGGAGATGACAACAGAAGATTTTATTTACACTGTTTCTACTCTTCTCAGTTCTAGTTGACAAGCGATTTCTTCTGTCAGGATCATGAACATGTTGATCTTAAGGCCAATAGAATAGCATGTGGCTTTGGAGGTATAGAGGTGGTTGTATTATTGGGGACTTATAAATGAGATACAAGGTTGGAATATGGAAACGCAAAAAAAGAAATCCAAAGTCGGTCAGACGCCGTTAGTAAACTCATTGCCTCCCGCCTCTGTGTCGATTTTCATTGATTCCATCAAACCACAGACTTCAAAGAGCTTCTTAGGTCCCAGTCCCTCAGGGATACCGGTGATTCCTTCGTTCTTCAATCGCTCCAAAGCAGTCCTGATGCCCAGATACGCAGGCGCCAATGATGCAAAGGAGAAGATCATAATCCGAAACCCCATCTCCTTGGCCTCCTTCGTTGTAATCACCGGGCCGGCCCCATTCTCAACCATGTTGAGCAGCAATGGCCACGGGGCCAAATCCTGGACTGCCTGGCGCGCCATCTCCTTGGAAGTGAATCCCTCCAGCAGACCTACATCCGCTCCAATATCCCGCGCTGCCTTGAGCCGCCGGATGCACTCGTTGTAGCCGTACTGCTGCAGCGCATCGGTGCGGGCAATCACCACAATATCTGAACGAAGTCGGTCTTTGGTTATCTTTGCGGCGCGGATGCGGGTGAGATACTCATTCAAGTTGACAACTTTCTTACCCGCGAGATGGCCGCATCGCTTGTTCTGGATTTGGTCCTCAATGTGGAAGCCAGCCACGCCAGCTTGGATGTACTGCTGGACGGATTTGGCGACCATGAGTGGACCTGCCGTAGTTAGCCTAGGAAGGTTGAAGAGAGCTACCTGACTACATACCTCCGTAGCCAGTATCCATGTCAGCAATCAGAGGAGGACCACAAGGGTCCAGGTTTGCAATCATCTCCGCATTGGTTCTCATGTCGTAGAGCTGGGCGAGCCCGAGATCTGCCATCCCAAGTCTAGAGGCGGTTGTCCCCGCACCAGTCTACAAGATTAGCCTGCGCATTGAGAGATTGTATGGACATAGATAATATTTATACCATGTAGAGAGCTTCAAAGCCGAGTTGCATGGCAATTCTTGCAGACAGGCCATCATAAACTCCCGGACAGATGATCAGTTCGCCATGATCACGGAGCCGCCTGCGGAGTTTGGTAGCACCCGGAATCATGTTCAGACTGATTGTCAGCTCATGATTTTCTCCGTTAATCTCATAAAGGTTGTCCTTCTGTATAGTGATTGCGATGCTACTCATTTTGGCAGAGTGGAAGAATAGTGAATATCTGAGTGGTTGACGAGTGCGTTGAAGAAAATGATCTGGCATGACAAGAGGAACTGTTTTATACCCTAATTTCTCCGACCAACTCCTCTGTTCTCAGTGCAATTTCGCGCCATTGGATAACTCACTATTGTTAAGGAGTCTCATTATCGTAACTCGCACAGCTGGATGATAGAGTTTGTCTTTGTAAAGACCCCGGGGATAGAACCTCATCGCTGTAATCAGCAATACACCCTGAGCATACACCAAGAAACAGTAGAATCTCTCAGAAACGGAATTTCCAGTACCAAGCGGCTTGAGTGATTACGCAACACCGAAGTCCAATGTGGTGGATCTTGTGGCGCAATGCCTGGCCCATGGTCGAGAGAGGTATGAGTTGGTTGACTTCAAATCGCAAGTCTTCTCCCGGTCAGTGTACTATGTAGTCTCCGACCTCTACCAGTGCACCGAAACCCTCCGAGCACGTCTCCATCTCCGATGCACAGTTTCCTCTGGCCTTGTCTGGCCATGCCCCTTGGCACTAGGGACGCGATTATCGGCGCCACCACACACCGTTTCATTGAGCATCTAGAACCCAACAGACTGATCACGCTGAAAACATAGCCTATGATTTGCTGAGGAGCTTTGACCGAGCCGTCCATCTTGGTGTTGAAGATTTCCGTATTAATCTCCCTGAACCAATGCCGAAGAAACAAAGGGTCTTGAGGTCTTGACGTAGCCCGGGGGAGAATCGTCTGCCGACACGAGGGGACTGGAATCATTTACTTGAGTGTCTCCGCCTTCCCCCTGCTTCTCATTCATTTTCTATGTCATTCCTTGTTGCCCTTTGAACGAAGACCCAGCACAATGCCCTCCTACTCAGACCGCAAGAAGAAGAGCGTTGCTGGTTTTTTCAAAACCGACATCAATGCCAAACACACCGAGGTACTCCTGTATGCTTGCTGTCTGAGCTCTGGCCTTGTGGACAGCACCCTCTATGCTGGTACGTAATCCAGATATGCGTCTTATTCTTCAGCTACTGATTACGCAGCCTACAACACCTTCGTCTCAATGCAAACAGGTAAGTCAACCGGAATTATCCCCCGAACATGGTAGCTCATGCTTTAGGGAACACTATTTTTGTTGGCCTGGGTGCTTCAAATCAGAATCCAAGACCATACGGCTGGGCGCGCTCTCTCACCTCGATTGGATGCTTCGTCATCGGCTGCTTCCTCTTCGCCCGACTGAACCATCTTCTCGGGCCGAGACGCCGAGGGACCTTGTGCCTCTCATTTGTCCTACAGGTGGCCATTCTGGTCATTACTGCGTCGCTGGTACAGGGTGGGGTGGTACGCGGCCTCTCATCGAGCCCCACTGCAGGCGAGGCCCATTGGACCCAGGAAACCCCTATTGTGCTTTTAAGTATTCAATCTGCAGGTCAGATTGTTGCTAGCCGGGCGCTGGGGTTCAACGAGATTCCGACTGTGGTCATTACCAGTCTTCTTTGTGATCTTGTCTCAGACCCCAAACTGTTTCTCCTTCGCAATGAGAAGCGAGATCGTCGCGTGGTGGCGTTTATTCTAACACTAATTGGGGCAATTGCTGGGGGATGGATTACAAAGGCGACACAGGACATCTCGTCTGTTCTGTGGCTGGCCGCTGGATTAAAACTGATGATCTCTGTTTCTTGGATGTTTTGGAGGGAGGAGGAGGCGGATAGTGCAGTATAAGTCAACTATTTACCTAGGAGGATGGCAACCTCACTGCTTGAACGAAAGAAAGTACCAGCGATATATATACGCAACCCAGATATTCTGATCATCTCCGTACCCATACCCAATAAATAACTCCCAGAAATACATTTCCGTGTACTACCGGCAGGCAAGCACGGCGTTCCTCAGGGGAATATTATGAATCGAGGCTCTATCAAGTAGGCCACCTGTGAGGAAAGAGTGTAACAGACGCGTATATGAGTTATAGCTACGGTAAGTATTGATCAGGGCAGATCCGCCAACTTGGAGAAGATTCTTCTTTAAACAACCCGCGAACGGCACGCCCCATCAGGGCTGCAAGAGCAACGTAAAATGCTCAGTTTAGTATGGCTGCATCGTGGCAGCCCTTGTGGATCAGTCTAGGGCCAGTGTTATATTGCCCACATGATATAGCACACGTAGAAGCGCACTGCCTACCCAGCTAGTTCGGTATACAGTAAGTGAAGTCAACCAAAGACCATTGTGAGCTATAGAGATCATGTAAAGTTGCCACAGGTAAAGACAAGACAACAAAATCCAGTGAAGAGCATATAGGGTCTTCTCAAATAACACCACAAAAGAGACGTCTGAGGTTGAAATTAATCAGCACATATAATGAGGATAAATCAGCGCAACACACTGGGGCGATGTCGAATCACCGTGGATAACAAGAAGTAAACACGCGATAAAATTGATGAACATGACAAATAAGACTCTCTTCCGAGTCTGGTTGCTGCGCGCGGGTAGAATCAGATATCAGATTGCCCAGCGTTGTCTAAAGCTCCCATCCATGCGAGCTGTAGGAAATAACTCTTGACCAAAATAATTTTCAACTTCACCGAGTTATTCCCTCTGGACTATCTGCTTGTGGGGGACTTGGGCGCAGCTGTTTTATCGGATTTGATGGCAGTCAGACCCGCACGAGAACCAGACCCAACGACAAGTCCCCACTTGGCCATCGGCACGGTTAGGTGTATAACAGCAGCAGCGGGCCTTAACAGACTTCAGCTCACAATTATCAAGACTGTTGCACCCTGGACCAGTGGTCCTGCAAAGTTTCAGCGTAGCACTTAGCAATTACCATCGAGCACCAGATGGGTTTACCTTTTGTAGAGTGGAAGGGCGGTGTGATTGAGATCGGTGGAGGATATAGCGACGGCTGGCTCTGGGAAAAGCAGATCAGATGGACGATTCTACACTGATCACCTCTAAGCAGTTAGGGTCTACGTACCATTGATTGTTGCCCCAAGCGTGGCTGTAGCGAGGAGAATTGGGATCAGAGTTAACAACATGGTTAAGAATAAAGGGCAGTACGTTGGTTGATCTGATACAATCACAGGAGAACGGATCGACTGGTGGCAAAGAGAACAAGAACAGTGGAGTCGACTCAAATCAGAAAGGACCCTGGTGCTTTTATAGACAGCCTGTTGATAAGCCTCTCTTAATCGATTCAATCTGTTGCCCGGCGGGGCACGATTTTGATGATAACATACTCGCCGAATCTATAAATGGAATCGGCCAGAGTGTGCCTGATGATCGCTTGTCTCTCTGGGTTCCGGTAGCAAATACAGAGTAGATCCGTCTCGCAGAACCTACTTTTGGGAAATTCCGCCTGTCAAGGTGCTGGCAGAAAATGTAGATCGGGGTGAGGTTGCAACTTCCACGGACGCGCACGAGTTCTTGGCGGGGTACATGCGACAAGTTGATTGAGCGATATGACCGTGTGAGTGATCACAGAATCTGTCGCCAGCGTGGGGCTCTAGTAGTCCCATGGTCTAGACCGACACTCCTAGACACCTTCGGCGGAGCGGGTACATAGCACAGCGCCTGTTTTCTACTGCAGAAGCTATATCTTATACTGGTGGCATTGACGCATGCCAAGCATTCACAGTGATCTCGTCTGAACAGACAGATCCGATTCATCCCTGTGAGTGACATATGTCCTTTTGGTGGTGTGGACGCGGACCCGCAGACCTATATACGGTGCGATATCAAACGATCACAAACCATCAAGCCAGGACTCGTGTCGACGTCACCAAGTTACTCTAACATATATACACGGTGCTCGAAAGTGGAAACTCCCTCTGCAAATAATTTTGGTGTAGGCCGAAATCCGGAAGCTTCATCGGTAGTCTATTGACAGCCTTCATCTTCGGCCGTAAAGCGGTTTGGGGTTTGGCTGCTTTGTGTAATTCTACGTAGAGAGCTTAGTATCATAGTAGATCAAGTCATTCAATACTTGGCATTTCGCCACTTATTCAGTCCCTTAAACCGGGCAAACGGAGGGACGCGTTTGGGGCATACCGAGAAAATCAAAGTCATATGTCGATAACCGGGGGGTTCCCTCGGACGAGATTGCGTAACTGCCGTCTTCGTAATTCCACCGAGAGGCTACACAACGCCGATGACAGTATCTGACGTGTACCGCGCAACTCTAGGATCTCGATCCTTGGTCGACAGAGTAGCACATGCCTTATCGAGGAGCGTCGATCTCATCAGATCTGCCTCAAGCGGAGAATGTCTTGGCAAGGTGGAGTGTTCCTCTAACTCAAGCCAAGCCGCCAAGATGCCGCAGGCAATTGGGCATGTTTATATACTTTACCGCTTATTTCATTCCAAATCCGCCTCCCCTCTCCCTATTGGATGGGTAGTTTTGTGTCGCTACAACAAAATTAAGTTACCTACATATCAAATGTTTCAGCCGCAACGGATCTGCTTCCAAAATGGGGCCCGGTTGACCAAGCAGAATCAAGATCAGATCCCGTGGACCTTGACTAAAATATACTCCCCTTAGCCTTAAGATAAGGTTTAACGTCCTTGGGGAGCCTTGGTTATTGTGCCTGCCTTGGGATGTATCGACCATTTTTATGGAAGTCATCGGATCCTAGAGATCCGGTTTATCTCCGGCAACGCAAACCACCTGCCTTTTTTGGCGGAGTTGTGAGCCGCCCCGTAGCCCCATATGACATGAGATCTATGCGCAGCGTCTAAAAAATTATGGCGCTGAGCTTATCGGGGAAGGCTTCCTGATTTCCCCGCGCCTAACTAACATTCCACAGAGAATGAATTTGGCCGGGACCTTAACCAGCTGGCTTAAGTATTGCCATTTACTTGGACCATATACCAGGGAGACAGAAAAAGTCCATTTATTTCCATACGTACAAGAGCATCACCAGTCATAATGACTGGGGAGGTACGCAGCCGGACATATAGTGATCAGTCTGTTCAAGGCCACCTTGTGAGAAAATGAGGTAACATGGGCGTAGTTAAGTTGTCGCTATGGTAATTCTTGATCAGGGCGAATCCGCCAAGTCGAAGGTTTCTTCCCCGTAGATAACTCGCGGAGAGCATGCGGATGGCAGCTGCATGGACCGGACTTTCCTCTTGCTTGTATGGCTGCACCTTGGCAGTGCCTGTAGATCAGTCCAGGATCAGTATTATATAACCCAAGATACAAATAGCACAAGTTAGCAATGCACTGTCTATCCATCCAGCCAGTTTGGTATGACCTTGCAGAAGCATGGATGCCTCTTTGACTATGACTTCTCAGCCTGTTACCTGCCTGGCCTGTAATTAATACCACTAGCAGAAGCTTTAATATCACTGTAGTCCTATTCCCAGCCAGCTATGTATACATAATACACTGTATGAATACCAAGGTCTAATGTATTTTTAAGCCACCTCTATAGCTGGGGAGACCTAGCACTTGTTATAAGTTATATAATAAGCTAATATCACCCTTAATATATATTTTAACATCCTCCTCTACAATACTGTCTGGGTAATAAGAGCAGAGCTTATTAGTAAGTAATCTACTAGGAGGACTGTTTAATATAGTAGTATCTGAGTGCCTGTTGGCTAAGGTGACCATGACTAAGGTATATTATCTATAATCCTATAAGCCCATCATCTAATAATCGACACTGAGACAAGGAAACTTAGTCGCAAAACGAGGCACGCCCCAGGACCAAAAGCCAGCGGCTCCTTGAAGAGCAGATATCACAATTTCTCAGACTGTAATCAGGCAGAGAACGTCGCAATGTTGCATGATTGGTTTAAACTGCAGCGTTGATAGCTGCTTCCCGCCAAGCCATCTGTCTCATTCCGCGGGCTATCAGTTAGGTTTGAACAGTGGTTGCCGGACAACGGCCCAGGGTTACGGATCTGCTCGCTCGGCCACCTCTGCTCAAAAGAACACCCACTCTTTGTGAGTTTTATTAAACTCCCCAGGATGGCGTACTCCAATCTCAGCTTAAGGCTGTACGCCACTGGCTTGAAGAAAACCTGGTGAGAAAACAGACCCGCATATTGAAAGACTACCACCACCACGTCCAGCACAAGGATAAAGACACTGATTAACAGCAAGCGAGTGAGGATTACTCGATGAGCGGAACGCTGTGGTCGAAGACGCAGCAGCCTGCTGGTTTCCCATATATATATCCCTGAAAGAAGGGACTCTTGGAAACAAAAGCCGATCAACTGGATTCGTTCCATGATGTCGTATCCCTCCACAAAGGAGGAAGGTGAGTTCGGCGTGACAACGCCATATAGTAGCACGGTTGTCGGGATCTGCAGACAGATAGCGTCGGTGGCAATAAGACAGAGGATCGCCCTAAGGAGATTTCGCCGATAGAGGACAAGATGGAGTCGGGACCATAGCACGACTGAGTGACCAGTTACCATGCAATACCAGCCTATTATGATGATGGTGACGGAGATGTAGGAAGAGAGAGCAACGAAAAAGAATAGTATGAACCCAACACAGTGGACGATGAGGCCGCATGAGGATATGAGGAGACTCCAAAAGTACAATCCGCGGTAACGCTTGAAGGTGGAAAAACAGAGAATGACCAGTTCAATCGAAGTGAACAGTGCAATGCTAGCAAAAGCTGTGAAAAGGAATTGTTGCGGCCGGGTAATAATGATGAACCCGGTGGCTTCACTAGCGGTCTGTGAAGTTGCCATCTGGAATGGATGTGGGTTTCTAGTCGCTGCATAATGGATAGAGGAGCATATCCATTTTAAAAACAGAAAGATAGAAACTGTAGAGACAGCTGATTCTGACTCTTGACAAAGGCGCCATATGCCTTGCCACAAAGCACACTGATTAGGATGATGAAGTGCCAGAATACTGTTTCACTCAAAGAAGTCCCCTTTGTTTTGGTTGCGTTAACTTTGAGCGCCATGGAAAGGGGAAACTAAATCACTGCTTCCTCGTACTCATAGATGAAAGAGTCAAGGAGTAGTGCCCCCGAAAATAGTGAGATCATAGACAAGTTCTAAGTGCGAACCTTGTTTAATAGAAGTTCATTACCGCCTGGGTGTTCCATTGTAGGGCTGTCTTACTGATTGATTAGTCGGATCCGAAAGATCCGATTCATCACCGGGCGAGAGAAACCACACATGGATTGTTTCGGTGCGGTACGGCGGACTGTGGAGTAAGTTTTTTACTGTGGTACCTGTGGGGCTCTAAACTAACAACAGTGTACGCGGCTGATTGTAAGCAAAACCCTGTGATATTGACACTTGCTGTTCCGAACACAAGAGCGTCTGGAACTAGTCCAGTCATTTATTGTTGCGGTGCTGACTGCAAGAGCCAAGACAGCGTTCCCACGGCTCTGTAGGCTTTCCACATCACGCTGGAAGACAGGGTGCCCAAAATAACTGCACCCTCACTCCTAAAGATCACGGTGGCATGCGATGCCGAACGCAACCGAACGCCACAGTGGACTGATCAATGGCGCAGGTAGCTTCCATCTCAGTGTTAACTTACAGGCGCGCAACAACACAAGCAAGAAGAAATAGTCACCCTGGACAGCGCACTCTGACGCTAACTGAACTCCCTATGATGCCAACCCTAAGCGGGATATATTTGGGAATGTCTCGCTGCTACTGCCGAGACTTCTCATCCTGGAGCACTCAGACTGAGGGTCTAAATCGAGGGTCGCGTTTGAGATGAAGCCGTTTGTATTGAAGTTGAAGCTATTTCGCCGGTTTGCATCAATGATGATTGCAGCCGTGTTGTCCTTGTTTACACTGGTTGTCTTCTACGAGGTGATGCCGGCATCCTGGGGCATAACTCCACATGAGATGACCGGCAGCCAAAAGGCCTACGGTGCTAATCTGGTGGCATCTGGCTTGAGCGAAGACTCCCTCCGTACCGACCGTCGCTGCCACGCTCTCCCCGACCCAGGCAACATCCTGTTCGTTGTGAAGTCCGGCGCCACAGAGATTTATGAGAAACTACCAACTCAGCTGCTGACGACGCTCGGGTGCGCGCGGGATTTCTTGATCTTCTCCGACCTTGAGGAGCAGATTGGCCACTACCATATCATCGATGCGTTAGCGGACTTCAACGAAACCATGAAAAAGACTCATGCTGACTTCGAGCTATACCGCCAACAACAAGAGTATCAACGTGGGGGCCTGGATATCACCACACTTAAGAATGACGGTAAGGCAGCCTGGAATCTGGATAAGTACAAGTTCCTGCACATGGTGGAGAAGACTTGGGTCCAGCGCCCAAACATGGACTGGTATGTCTTCATTGAGAGCGACACGTATATCGTCTGGACGAACCTCCTCCTCTGGCTGCGTCAGTTCTCGCCGAAGAAGAAGCTGTACATGGGCTCCGCGGCCTTCGTTGGAGACCAGGGTTTTGGCCACGGTGGGAGCGGCTATGTCATTTCAAAAGCGCTGATGAAGGCATTTGTGGGGAAGAATGCCTGGACGGCGGGTCGTTACGACGATGTATTTCCGACTGAGTGCTGCGGGGATTTCGTGCTGGGACGGGCGCTCAAGCAGGAGCACAATGCGGGAATCCAAAATTTTTGGCCGCAAATGAACGGGGAAAAACCCGTGACACTGGAGTTTGGATCAAATCAGTGGTGTCAGCCCGTCATTACAATGCATCATGTCAAGCCGCGGGAGCGCAGCATCATTTTTGATTTCGAGCAGGCCCGCGACAGTATCGCGGTATGACCCTTAAGACAGATGAAATACAGCACAGCGCTAACAGCCGTAGGTACCGCTGCTCTTCAGGGAACTCTCAGAGTTGCCCTTTCCACCGGGTAGGATGCGCATCCAGGAGGATGACTGGGACAATCTCGCCTTTGTGCCGGTGAACCTGGACAACCCTTCGATGGAATCATGTCGAGAGGCGTGCGAGAATCACTGCTTCCAATGGCGGTATAGCGAGGGCGAGTGCCATATATCGACTGAATCCTTCAGGCTTGGAACAAAACGGCTGCCTGAGGGTCAGCGGCGTTGGTTCTCAGGCTGGAACGTTCAGCGAATACAGGAGTGGCGCGACGCGCATCCGTGCAAGGAGACAACTTGGGTGAATGCGCACTGATTATCCTAGATCAGCAGGTCAACAAATGTTTGGAAGAAGTCAGCGTAGAGAAGACGGACCAAAGGGCCCAGGTGTTGCAGGTCTCAACGTTGTGATTCAGAGAAGACTGATTGTTATTATTCTCATCCGCAAATTCGGGGATCTATATACATGCTGAACATTATCTTGTTTCCAATCAATCTGCTTCTACACGAAATACATTCCCTATACAGAGCTCTATTGCCTTGAAGAGACAGATCACTAGATGACAATTGTGTGTATTTCGCCAGTTATTACAACTAGTGATGTTCTTGATATTTTGGAAATAAATGAACTCCCTGTATCTCCCCGGTGTATGGACCAAGAGTCACTTTACTAGTCAAACTACTCAAATAGACCGCCGCACACTCTGGGTTCTAGGGCACACCTTCACCAACATAACTTATACAATTTATTATCTGATTATATTCAGCTTTGGAATAGCACTGCCTTTCATCATTCAGCTGATGCCCATTAATAGTGTCAAGATAATGAAACTTGATCCGAGGGACGGGCCGCCGGCAGCCGAGTTGCTGCAAGATAAGTGGTTTGACTTAGAGTAGATGATTATCGCATTGACTACAGAACTGATAGGTTGTCCCAGATATAGAAACAGCGCTATGATCCATTATTGGATGTCCCCGGTATTTCCCTGAGAACTCCGCAGGAAAAGCACCTCGGGGAAAAAATTAAGACACCGGAGAAGCTGGACTGCGGGAGAAGCTGATGGTCGGCACTTGCACGACAGAGTAGATCGGCAATCCAACGTGAGGTCTGGAATATTTGTGTCTAGCTCAATTTAAGTAAAAGTTTGTATCATTGACATACAACTTTCTTCGAGTTGCTCCTCGCAGCATTGGATTTGCCCTTGATGCCGGTGAAAAATTTCCCGCGGAAAACTTCTTATCAGTCGCGTCGGCATGAATGCAATCGACGGTGATTGGCCCGGACAAGCGTTATCGGCGTGTTGGAGAAAGAGGCCAAAAGTTTCCCGCCGTCGGTCGTCATCGTCCGCGGTCTTCTTGTCGGACACAATGAGCAAAAATAATAATTATGACGGCCAATCTCGTGCTGGTCATTTTTCTTCTTCCGATGACTTCTTTTACTTCTTCTCTTCTTCTCTTCTTACCATCTCAATTCTCCTCCCCAATCCATCCCTGTATGTGTTGAGCTGGCCGAGTCGTGAGACCGACATCTGACGACATACCTACTCTCCTCTCCTCTGGACAATCCGCCTCGGTCCATTGGACTCCTATCTGCAGGTATGGCTGCATCCTGGTGCGCCCTCCGTGGCACTCGCCAGCTTGCCCTTCGTACGCGGTTGCGTGCCTCTCCTGCCTCAATCTCCCTGCGCAAGGCCTCTCCCTCGCCGGTATTGGCCACTCGCCGTTATCTCAACACTACCACACAAGCAACGCCAGCTTCGCGACGGGCAGTTTATACGAGCTCTGTAGCTGACCATGGCGACCCGCATCCCCGCGATCTCTTCCAACCCCTCGACACCTTTCCCCGCCGTCACATTGGCCCCTCACCCGAGGCGGCCCAGGAGATGTTCGCCGCGCTGGATCCCCCGGTAGCATCTCTGGATGAGTTCGTCAAGCAGGTGCTTCCCGCCGATATTCTATCCAAGAAAGACCTCACGGTCACCCCTCCCAGCGCCAACATCAACCTGCCCCGCTCCAGTGTACACGGTGGCTTGGGAGAGACGGATATGCTGAAGCTGCTTGAGACCTACCGCAAGCAGATTGACATCTCCGGCAAGACATACCTGGGAACCGGCTACTACCCCACCATTGTTCCTCCGGTTATCCTCCGCAACATTCTGGAGAACCCTGCTTGGTACACCAGCTACACTCCCTACCAGCCTGAAATCAGCCAAGGCCGTCTGGAGTCGCTTCTGAACTTCCAGACCCTGACCGCAGATCTGACCGGCTTGCCGTTCGCCAATGCCTCCGTCTTGGATGAGGCTACCGCCGCTGCCGAGGCCATGACCATGTCTCTGGCCACCCTCCCCATGGCTAAGCAGAAGAAACCCGGCAAGGCCTATGTTGTGTCTGATCTGTGCCACCCTCAGACCATTGCGGTCATGCGGTCTCGCGCTGAGGGATTCGGAATCAACCTGGTGGTTGGTGACATCATGGCGAACGACTTTGAACTGGTGAAGAAGCAAGGTGACAACCTCATTGGTGTCCTCGCGCAATACCCCGACACCGAGGGTGGTGTGTACGATTTCCAGGCCCTGAGCGACAGCATCCACGCGGCTGGTGGTACTTTCAGCGTTGCTACCGATCTGCTCGCATTGACCGTCCTCAAGGCTCCGGGTGAGTTCGGCGCGGATATTGCGTTTGGTAACGCCCAGAGATTCGGTGTCCCCATGGGATTCGGTGGTCCTCACGCCGCTTTCTTTGCCTGCGCCGACAAGTACAAGCGCAAGGTTCCTGGACGTGTCGTCGGTGTGTCCAAGGACCGTCTGGGCAACCGGGCCTTGAGATTGGCTCTGCAGACCCGCGAGCAGCACATTCGTCGCGAAAAGGCTACCAGCAACATTTGCACAGCCCAGGCTCTGCTTGCCAACATGAGCGCCATGTATGCCGTTTACCACGGTCCGGTTGGCCTCAAGTCTATCGCCCAGCGTGTCATGGCCATGACCTCGACTCTGCAGGAGAAGCTGACTGCTTTGGGTTACAACGTTCCCGTCAAGGGCGGTGTTGTTTTTGACACCCTGTCCGTCGAATTTGCCAACAGCCAAGAGGCCGACGCCCTCATTGCGGCTGCTCGCGAGCAGAACATCTTCCTCCGCCGCGTGTCTTCCACCAAGGTCGGTATCTCTCTTGATGAGACCGTTGGTCGCGAAGAGGTCAAGTCTCTGCTGCAAATGTTCTCCAAGCACGCCGGTAAGGGCGAGGTTGAACTCTCTGAAGAGATTGGCATCAAGTCCCTCCCCCCTAACCTGGAACGGACCTCCTCCTACCTCACCCACCCCGTGTTCAACACGCACCATTCCGAAACCGAAATGCTGCGGTACATCCGCCACCTCGAATCCAAGGATCTTTCTCTCGCTCACTCGATGATTCCTCTGGGCTCCTGCACGATGAAGCTCAACGCGACCACCGAGATGATCCCCGTCTCCTGGCCCGAGTTCTCCCAGATTCACCCCTTCATGCCCGCCGACACGGCCAAGGGCTACACGCAGATGATTGACGATCTTGAGCAGCAGCTTGCCGACATCACCGGCATGGCCGAGATCACCGTGCAACCCAACTCTGGTGCTCAAGGCGAGTTTGCTGGTCTGCGTGTCATCAAGAAGTACCTTGAAGCCAACGGAGGCGAGAAGCGCAATATCTGTCTGATCCCCGTCTCGGCTCACGGCACCAACCCCGCCAGTGCTGCCATGGCTGGTATGCGCGTGGTCACGATCAAGTGCGACACCAAGACCGGTAACCTGGATCTGGCCGACCTCAAGGCCAAGTGCGAGAAACACAAGGATGACCTTGCGGCCATCATGATCACCTACCCTAGCACCTTTGGCGTGTACGAGCCGGGTGTCAAGGAGGCCTGCGAGATTGTCCACCAGCACGGCGGCCAGGTCTACATGGACGGTGCCAACATGAACGCGCAGATCGGTCTGTGCTCTCCCGGTGAGATTGGTGCCGACGTGTGCCACCTGAACCTGCACAAGACCTTCTGCATCCCCCACGGCGGTGGTGGCCCCGGTGTGGGTCCCATTGGCGTTGCAGAGCACCTGCGTCCTTTCCTGCCTTCGCACCCGGCCAGCGAGTACCTGCAATCCAAGCGGGGGGAGACCTCTTCGCCCCCAATCAGCGCTGCTCCTTGGGGTAGCGCCAGCATTCTTCCCATCACCTTCAACTACATCAACATGATGGGTGCCAAGGGTTTGACTCATGCCACCAAGATTACTCTCCTGAATGCCAACTACATCCTCTCCCGTCTCAAGCCCCATTATCCCATTCTTTACACCAACGACAACGGCCGCTGCGCCCACGAGTTCATCCTCGATGTGCGCAAGTTCAAGGATACCTGCGGTATCGAGGCCATCGATATTGCCAAGCGTCTGCAAGACTACGGCTTCCACGCTCCCACCATGTCCTGGCCTGTGGCCAACACTCTCATGATTGAGCCCACTGAGTCGGAGAACAAGGCGGAGCTGGACCGCTTCTGTGATGCGCTCATTTCCATTCGTAAGGAGATTGCCGCCGTTGAGAGCGGCGAGCAGCCCCGTGAGGGTAACGTTCTCAAGAACTCCCCTCACACGCAGCGTGACCTGCTGTCCAGCGAGTGGAACCGTCCCTACTCACGGGAGTCTGCGGCGTATCCCCTTCCATATTTGGTGGAGAAGAAGTTCTGGCCCTCGGTGACCCGAGTGGATGATGGTACGTCTCCTTTTTCTTTAATCAAAAGAACGAAGCTAATTCATGTATAGCATACGGTGATCAGAACCTGTTCTGCACCTGCGGCCCGGTGGACGAGACGGAATAAATGATACCCATGTTTCAACATTCTTCTGATTCAGTTTTATTTCAACCTTTCTTCAACACTTGCCTTGAGGCATTTACGGTGGCATGAGCAGCATGAAAAGATTCAACAAGTCATGATAGACATTGGGATGGCGTTTGATTTGTTTAGAGTGGCAGCCAGCTGTGGCAGCTAAAATAGCGAGTTAATACCAGTTTGCGCTGCTCAACGCAGTATGCATATCAATATATCATCAGTATCTTCATCAGTCTGTCATAGTCTGTATACTCCGTAGTCCGTAGCTCTTGTACTGCTGAATGCTTATCTTATCGGATCTTGCCACGATCACATGTCTTGGCGCTGCAGTGGGTACCTGAGGCATCGGAGCTGGCCGCTCTCCGACCACGAGGGACTTTTCTCTCGCCGCAATTGGCCGATAGTAATTGGCCGTCTACCCCAGTATCCACCTGACTTATTCCTGTCTGCGACCTGCTTCAGTTCTATTTAGATAGCCTCGACCCGCATGTCCTGGTGTTGAGCTTTGAGTCGGAATTGCTGCTTCATTCTCGTCTTGCAAGCTGTATATATGTCGCGTTGGAGTGCATATCACTAACAGTAAGATATGGCCATGAGCAGCTGAAGAATGCGCTAACATGATCAGGACATTCTTCCTGTATGATAAGATTGACGTACGTCAGTGACGGCTTCATCGATACGTGTATATGATCTCTGCGAGTACATAGCTTTTACTGCGCTTTTATCTGGCAATGGCGACGGCAACGGCCCCTACATACACTTTGTTCCTCGGAACATTCATCCATCTTCCCCGCAAACCGACTGGGGTGGATCCAGATGCGAAATGGCGACCCGAGCTCGAGATTAATAACGGCGCGTTATGGGTTTCGAATAGCGACGGGAAAATCGCGGGGTATGACTGGTCTTTCTCACCAGCTGACGGCAACGTGAAGGCGTTGACGGAGAAGTTGGGGCTGAGCGGAAAGGTGACGGAGGTGGTTGGCGCAAGGGAGGACAGGAACGAGTTTTTCTTCCCCGGGTTCATCGGTATGCTCCCTTTGCCCCTAGACAAGTATCTCTCTAGGTATAAGCTGACAGACGGAGATACACACATCCACGCCCCGCAATACCCCAACTCGGGCATCTTCGGCTCCTCAACCCTCCTCGACTGGCTCGAAACATACACCTTCCCCCTCGAATCCTCCTTCAGCGACACCTCCAAAGCCCGCGCCGTCTACTCGCGCGTCATCGCGCGCACCCTCGCCAACGGCACCACCTGCGCCTCCTACTTCGCCACCATCCACGTCCCCGCCACCAACCTCCTCGCCTCCCTCTGCCACGCCCGCGGCCAGCGCGCCCTCATCGGCCGCGTCTGCATGGACAACCCGTCCTTCTGCCCGGACTATTATCTCGATTCCTCGCCCGAATCCTCCGTCACCAAATCCCAGGAAACAATCGCCCACATCCACTCCCTAGACCCAGACGGAACCCTCATCCACCCGATCCTCACCCCGCGCTTCGCGCCAACCTGCTCCCCGCCCGCCCTCCGCGGCCTCGCCCAGCTCGCAAACTCCTACAATCCCCCGCTCCACATCCAAACCCACCTCTCCGAGAATACAGGCGAGATATCCCTCGTCCGCGAGCTCTTTCCATCAAGCAAGGACTATACCTCTGTCTACGATGACTTCGGGCTCCTCACGCCGCGCACAATCCTCGCGCACGCGGTGCATCTGTCCCCATCTGAGCGGGAACTGATTGCGAAGCGGGGCGCCAAGGTATCGCATTGCCCGGCGTCGAATTCAGCGCTGGGGAGCGGGATCTGCGCTGTGAGGAAGTTGCTAGAGGCGGGTGTGGAGGTTGGGTTAGGGACTGATGTGAGCGGCGGGTATAACTGTAGTGTGCTCGAGGCTGTGCGGCAGGCGTGTCTTGTTTCGAGGCTGTTGAGGCATAGCCATAATCATTCGAAGGAAGGTGGAAGTGATGGTGAAGAGGTGCTGAGTGTGGAGGAGGGTCTGTACCTTGGTACGCGGGGCGGCGCGGAGGTCGTGGATCTAGCCGGGGAGGTTGGGGGGTTTGAGGTTGGGATGTCCTTTGATGCGCAGATGGTTCGATTGGGTCATACGTCGTCCTCTGCGGAGGGCAGATTACATGAGCACGGCGTTGTGGATGTGTTTGGGTGGGAGTCGTGGACGGAAAAGGTGCATAAGTGGGTGTGGACGGGGGATGATCGGAACGTGAGGGCTGTTTGGATCCGGGGGCGACTGGTTCACTCTTTGGATGAAAGACAATTGGAAGTGAGCGGACCCGAGCGAAAGAAGGCTACGTGGACAGGGACAGGGATGGGCTGGGAGTCGAGGTGGTGGTTGTGTGGGTTGGGGTTTGTGAGTGCTTGGTTTGTTTTTGATAGAGTCATGCGGTAATGTCTTACTGCGGAGCGAAGCGTAGCATAGCATTTTATATACTTCATTGTCAATACTAGCTACCAGTTACCAGCTACCGCTTCTCGTACTTTTAGATCCCCTACTGGAACAGCTCAACGCAGTCGAAGATCTAGCAAGGTTAGTCAGAACACACAAAGTAGTGACTGCACTCACAAAGTTGGGACTGAGGAACTCATCTCCGGAGCTTCCAGAGACAACGCTGATGGTAATCTATGCCCGTCAGCTTGGTAGTTACACTGGTTAAGATGACGACGTACCGTGTTGGTGCCCGCAACGATCGTTCCGGCCGGAATCGCAACATCATACACCTCGCCCAACCCCCTGTACGCTCCGCGGGTGACACCGCGCGAATTGAGGTTCGTCGGCGCAGAGGGAGCCGGTCCGGTGAACGAGTTGACCTGTCTCATTAGCCTGCGAAGAAAAGCTAGCTGGACGGAGGCATACCGTGGCTTGTGGTCGACCACCCGCAAAAGACAGGGTCGTGCCGATGCGCAGCGTGGCGGCGCCGGTTTGCGAGGACAACGCCGTGAACTTGATCGTGACGGGGCTGTTGGCCGACTTGAAGATAGCCATGGGGAAGTCGGTCAGCGAGGAGCTGCCGACGGTGTAGGTGAGCGGGCCCCAGTTGGCCATGCGCGAGTCGGACGGGTGCATTCTCAGCTGGTTTGCTGCGTTGCGGAAGCCGGTGGGTCTAGTCCGTCAGTACCTCTCTATGTGTTGATATCTTTGCTGAAACACTTACTGGCCGTCCCAGTCGCCGATCTTGAAGATAGTGGTGCCGGTCTTCACGGACCCAGAGATGTTCTTGGTGGTCGTCGAGCCGGCCGACACGGAGACAGAGGTCGAGGCAACCTTGTATTCGCCTTGGTAGTAGACCATGGTATAGGTTCCGGGCTTCATGGCGGGAGAGGTGAAGCTGCCGTCGGAGGCCGTGTAGGTCCAGTACTGCGCCGCATCGTTGTACCTGGAGAATCAGTCATGCTCGGACATTAGGGTTCCCGGACAGGGCAATACCAGTGGACAACCCATGTAAACGCGGAATCAGCACCTGATGCTTTTCCAGTCACCGTGCCTCGGGCACTGGCCGGGACGTAGCCCGTAATGCCAAGGTTCGCAAAGAAAGACGTATCAATGTTGGTGCTGGGAGTACCGCTGCGACTAAAGTACATCGAGTATGGGCCGTGCAGACCCATGCGGTACGATTCTGTCTGGACGTGGCCGGAGTTCTGGGCGCATTAGTGACTGTACGAGTCCGGACAGACAAACACCTACCATGTACCAATAGAGGGAGTTGTAGTCGCCTCCGTTGTTGGAGTTGATATCGCTGTTGAAATCAGTGGCAGCTCGGATATAGGGACAAAAATACATACCGGTGGAAAGGACCGCCGGAAGAAGATTCGTACTGGTTCAGGATCATGCACACGCGAAGCGCACTGCCAGCGACGCCTGTGTCTGTTAGCCTAGATTCCAGGAAAGTAGATGCTACCTACAGTGTCTCTGGTCGTCGATGAATCGCTGACTGGAGTAGAACTTGCTGCGCGTCTGTCCATTGACCAGGAACTATGGCTGTCAGTACGTGAGTATGCTGCGGATATGACCAACTTACCACATCCGAGCCCTCAATGGCGGTACCGCCAGCGGTGGTTGAGACGTCACCAAATGGCTCCTCGTTTGGGAGGAGGCTGTTGTCGAGACGGGCAATGAACCGCAGCTCACCGATAGATGGTTCTGGATGGTCAGCAGAGATCCTGAAGCAATCGTCAGAGGACTAACCCGCAGTAATGTAGGTGGCCATATGAATGATGGGGTCTCCGTTGTGCACAACGAAGTACTGAGTCAAGGTACTCGTCGAGCAGGTAACCTTGATATAATCGCCTAGAGAGGTCAATCCAATACTGTCATACTGAGGCAGTAGGACACACCATTCTGAGTGGCAGAGACGGTTGCAGATCCGAGACCTGACCCAATATGACTGCCTGTGCTTTGATACTGCAGTTCGGAGCCGTGAAAGTTGATCGATGTGATGTCGCAGTTCGACCGGTTGACTGTAAACTTCAACGGATTCGGCGAGTTGGCATCGATGACATAGGAGCTGCTGGTCGTGGTGATGCCAAAGGCCGCATTGGCGACCTGAGCCCAGAAGGGAAGGGACAAGAAAAGTACAGCTTTCGACAGCATTGTGAACCGCTCTGGGAGGTGGCGTTCTGAGCTGATGTTCTATTCAGTGGGTCAGCAGAAGTGCAGATGCTTATATATCACCAGCCATTCTTCAGGCTGTCCAGCCTCAGACACGGAGAGATCTTCATCTCCATCACATTTCCCCTCCTGGCAATTTGACGGGTTCCACCAATCTCAGGAGGTGGATAATTGCGCAACATGAGAGCGGCAACAGTATCTATCAAGGCTAGCGCTAGAGACGGAGTGCATGGCTGTATATTAATTTAGCCCACAATATGTACCGATGCATGCGGAGAAGCCTGCGCGAATGCCACAAAATAGATAAATACCATGCGGTAGCTTTCCGGGGAAGGATTGGCGCCAAGTATCATAATCTCAGCAGGATGCTCCTTTATACCGGCCAATTTCTTCACACAGTTTCAGTGATTTTGAGAGACATCACTCTGTACACTAGCCATTCATTCCTACTCAATAGCTTGCACTACTGAATCCAATATCGACCTCGTCAGGCTGCTGGAGTAGTTCTAGTTCATCCGGATGAAGTCGTAGAATCACATCGCCGTGTCTAAAGGGGACGATCACCAGGCGGGGTTTGGCAGGATCCATTGGCAATCCGTTACTCCATAATACAAGCCAGATTCGGTCTGTTTTATCGCGAGAATCCAAGTCATTGTCTTTCAGCAATGAATTTAAATCAATCGACTTTTGCCGGAGTGATCCCAACTGGGTTTTGCCAGGCTTTGGCGCCATAGACACCAAGTCTGGTGCATCCGCATTTTTTCCGTCTTGAGCTTCTTCAGGGGGAGAAGCTTTTCAGTAATTTCTATTTCCATCAATCAATCTGGTCCTGATTGCATCCCTCGCATTGTATCATCCCGAGTCTGACAGAGGTGTCGCGGTCGGCCAACCCAATCAGATTTCATCTTATGTCACTCAATTCACGCATATCCCCCTTTACCGTAGTGTCATCCAAATGCGCAGAAAGGAGCTGTTGCACTTGAGACTGCCAAGATGATCGAATGTGTCGAGTTGGAAAATGAAACTCCTGGTGGGCTTGGTGACAGTCTTACCGGAATCTGTCCGGAAGTCCCAGCCGCCATCCCGAAGGACTCCTTGGGTATGAAGATTGAAGGACATTTCTGCTGATTAATGCGTGAGGTCGAATTCTAGACCATGTTTTTCCTAGGTTGCTTGTTTCACTCATCTTTGCTGACAGGTCAGTTCGAATAGCCAAGAGATTAGGATCCAGGAATAGCATATCCAATTCGGAACACCCTCCGAGGTTTCAGACCATATCCTTATTCACAGCTCATTCATGCTAGTATGATTTCCTCTTCAGGAATTGAAGGGCAGAAAGAAGAAACGTTCCCTGGATGTCTGTTTTTGTACTGAAACAGCATGAAGATCAAGAACCTGTTACTTGATCTACGGCTGAGACGTCACCAACCTTGTCCTTTTGTGCTTTGAAGCGTTCGTTGGAGACTCTTTTACACGGCATCCTCATCGATATGTTAAAGCCGTGTGTCCTGTTCTTGTTCAGGGGCGACTGCATTTCAACACATGTTTGAGGACTCTGGCATTTCTCAAGTACAATCCCTACAGCAGAGTAATGGGTGGCCGTTCAGGTTCTCCAAGCCAATACTGACTGATGTGTTCAGCATGCAAAGGCTCAATTTTCGTGAGTCAGGGTCAGAGCATGCCTAGCTGATGCAGATAGCTGTCGCTGCCATTCTAGCAGTAAGGTCATGAAATTTGGAACTATGGCGTTTCAGCATCCTCTTCATGAAAACAACCACGAACAGCCTTTCAGTCAAGCTGCTACGTCATACGAGATCGCATGATAAAGCGCAAACAATCTAATACAGAATTTGTCCATTGTCCTTCCTCAAGCTTCGAGAGGGTAACAGTCCAGGGCGAAGGACCTCATTCACTCTGACTGGTTATCAACTCGGCAAAACATGACGCTTTCGCGACTAAGATGGGTTGGCATTGTCTGTATGCATTCCAAATTAGCAATGCTATATCTGTGCTGCATGGCTCTGTACAAATAGAGCATCCTCAACCTGAAGCTATTGTTCGGAGATATGCATCATATTGTCTAGAAGGGCTCAGTCCGCCCCTGAAGTGGATAACCATGTGGCTACATCTGACTCACTAATGCATCTTTAATTTTAGGGCCAATCAATTGGTGAAGTTCTAAAGCCAAGTCAGCCAGAAGTGTCTTCTTTCCCATCGGTGGCTGCACCCTCAGCCGGTTGAGTGGTTGATATTGTCACTGCTTTCAGTAATTTGTTGTGCAACACACGACAGTCGTACCGCACGCGATATCCCCTGTCTCGGTGGCAGCGACAGTTGTGAATTTCCATCGCCTGCTCAGGACTGGCGACTGCAATTGCAAAAATGACTCCATTAACTTCGGAGACTCCTCCTCGAGGCCCGACGGGTATATATGTCCGTCAACCCCAGCTCCGCCGGACACATGTGTAGCCTGCTGCCTAACTTAGTGGTATTATCTATAAGTATTTCTCTGAAACTTGGCGAATGTGCACCGACCTACCATATTGCTGGCTCCTGGTGCTTATCTCTGGCAAGATTTAAGTCAAGAACCTGACATCCCCGCTTCCATTTCTGTTAATAATAATGGTATTGACAATAATCACAATAATGCGGACCATTGCAAAGATCCTATTCCCCGGTCTGGTTACTTCAGTCATATTCCTCGCGTGTCGACGGCTTCTTCCTCATCAACTCCAAACAACAATACGAGCACGAACTCAAACACAAGCGCAAGAGCAACAACCAGAAATGGGGAGGATCGATTGTGTGCAACATGAGCCCGAAGGTCGCGTCTGGGTAGGCTATGGCTCCGGCCATGGGGTGAAGGTGTTCGGGTACCCCTCCAAGGGTGGTGTCTATGTCCTGGATAACTGTTTCGGTGTAGAATTGGACTTTCTTGGACTCGACCGGTTCAATAACACCGAACGCCCATCCAAATTAGATCCCGATTGGCAAGCCAAAGAGGACGCACACTGCGACCGGAGTCAGTTACCATTCTCCTTTCCCCTGACTCTCCTTTTTTAATTTTTGTTGTGCATGTCTAATGTCTAAAAGTGCGTCGCCTCGGCGCTACCTGGTGGCGAAGAGAATCGGATGAATTTCTCGAGCATGAACTAAGGTACCCAGAGCCTACGGATGTATATCTCCGAGTGGGCTGGACGGCTGGAGGTGGTATATGGGTTTTACACACGACATTGGGTAACGCAGGAGCTATGGGAGCAGGGCGGATCCACAATGCGCATGATATGGAGGAACGGTGCAGATGGATCGAAAAGCTGGGAGGTGTCTTCTACGCTGACCCCAAGGACTGCCCCTATCTCGATCTTCCTTGACTGGACGACAAAAGTACATAGCATAGGTAGTGCGTGACTATATCTTTTATCCAAGAACAGAGACGGAATACACGCCGGCCATGATCATGAAAGCAGGGGTGCCGGCGAACAAAATCGCCGTTGGAATCGCCAGCTATGGCCGCAGTTTCGGCATGGAGGGCCCCAGCTGCGTAGGACCCGAATGTCTCTTCACCAAACCAAACTCCACCGCCACGCCAGGGGAATGCACTGTGAAAGCAGGTTATGTCTCTCAGGCTGACCAGCTCCGCCTTGGCCCGCCGTGATTCCTCGGTCACTAACTGGTACGAACCCACGCCATCATACGATGATGAGGAAACTCAAAGAGCTAGTTATTAAGGTGGACCCTAACCCTCACGCCTTAGACCAACTCGGCCATGTTGCCTTGCTATGTTACAAAGCCAATAATTTAATTAGAAGAGCTAAGGAAAAAGGAGAACCCCCAACCCAGCCCTAACTGTCTACCTATTTACGAAGCCCAGGGGTGCACCTACTTCCTCGCACACAAACTCTTTACAATCTTTTGCACCAAAGCATCCTGATCCCTAAATCGCTGTGGAAACTTGGCCAAATCGCTCGCCTTCAACAGACCCCTCGCCTTGGAAGCCTCACCCAGCGCCTCCCCCTTGGACAGCCTGCCCGTCCCGCCGCCAACACCCGCAATCAAACCCAGGATCGCAAACGGGGCAGAGGACGGATCCTCAATGATGTCCGCCACCGTTAGTGCCCCGTTGCCCGCTTCGCCGATGAGAAGCGCAATGCGAGCGACTGCTGCTGCGCTGCCGATGAGGGGGCCGAGGGCCTCGCCGACAAAGGGGATAACCATGAAGATGATGCTGAGGATCTTGAAGATGAGGGCCTTCTTTGCTTCTTCCTTGGCCTTTTCGCCAATGTCTTTGATGTCCTTCATGCTGCTGATGGATTCGGCGAGTTGCAGGACGGGCATGGCGTAGGCGACTACTGCGTCGGTGGCCGAGCCATCGTTTGGCCCGTCGTCGTAGAAGGACAGGCCCACGCTGAGGTACGACGAGAGCAGCGAGGTTCTCAGAGCCGTGACATTGCCCATGGACGCCTCGATGAGCTTCTTCGGATTGCCGACGTGGATATCGTCGTCGGCGGCCTTCTGAGGGTAATTCAGCTTTTTGCGGTAGAGCTTCCGGCAGGGCACGTGGCCGGCGCCCGGTCGTACATCGCCCGGATCCGCACACCCGTAGTCGGATGTCTCGTCGCCAAACGTCACCCACGACTCGTCGATGCCCGTCTCGGCCGCGAGCGCGTCGAAGAAGCCCTGCTTGTCGACGAGATCGAAGCGAATGCTCCATCCCTCGCTCATGTCCCAGATGTGCGGCATGCCGAGGCAGGAGTCTTTCGTTTCGGCGCGGCCGGTATATGCCCAGTAGCAGTCAAAGTACTGGAGGCCTTTGCCGTCGCCGAGGTTCATGAATTCGTCGATGCGCGGCTGGATCTGCTCCTTGGTCCACTTCTCGTACCAGCCGAACTTGTCGTCGTAGTCTTGCGAGTTGATCTGGAACAGAGACAAACTGTCGAGGAGCTGCGAGTAGAGAATGTCCATCGCAAAGAGGCTGACACAATCTGGGTCTAGAGAGTCGGCTTGATCGGCGAGACCGTCCAGGGTGCCCGGGTTCTTGTCGGAGGGGCAGGTGGGAGTGTCGTCGCCGGCTTCATCATCGGAACCGACGCCGTCGTCGTTGCTGTCGTCGCCGTTTTCATTGTTCGAGTAATCTTGGAGGTCAATGGCCCAGTCGGTCGAACCGCCAAAGTTGAGGCCCTTGATCCAGTTGATTCGGTTGGCCTTGAGACCGCCGTCCATGTAGGCCACCCAATCCACCGCTCCAGGGTTACCGTAGATGAGAATATTGGACTGCGAATCCGTGTCAATGTACGAGTTGACGATGGAGTAGTTGCCGTGGTTCTTGATGATGTCGTTGAGCTCGGCGTTGGCGATGTAGCCACCAGTTGCCGTACACGGCGCGGCATAGGCCATGGAGTGTGTCCTATCTCCAGCATAGGTGCAAAAGGGACCGGAGCAGGAGGCGTCATTCATACGGAAGCTTCTGCCGTAACTGCTGACGCCAATGACTATCTGTCGGGCTTCCACGCCAGCTTTGGTGATCATGACCATGGCATCGTGCGTCTCGGTCATGTTGACGTGCGATCGAAGACAGTTTCCAGCTGGGCAGCCGGGAATGGCCGATTTGTTGTCGACATCTACATCCAGACTCGTGTTAGTATACACTTTTTATTTTCTCAGGCTTGCGTTACTTACCCCATTGGCCGTGCAGGTCATACGTCATGTAGATAAAGTAATCCACATATTTTGCAATGTTCTGGACCGGATACTGCTTCAAGTACCAGTAAGAAGCCGGCAGCGCGATGGAAATGGATTTCCCGATAGGCAGCTTGCTCCGGAGCATCTGCAGGAAAGCAAGGTAATTTCTCCCTTCGTCCGGGCTTCCGGGCGTGATGTCCGGAATATCAGGGGCACCGGGATACTCCCAGTCAAAGTCGAAGCCATCCAGATCTTGACGGCTCATGAAGCTCACCAGGTTATCGACGAAGGTGGAGCGATGCTCCGGCTTGGTGGCATCTCTGAAGCGCTGGAACGTGCCCGGGTCTGTGGAAAACGCCCATCCGCCAAAGGAGAGAATCTTTTGAAAGCCTCTCATCTTCACGAATTTGCGAAATTCGTCCTCGACGTTTGAGATGTCCACGTCGAAATCGGATGTGACCGTGGCAAACGCAAAGTGAATGTGCGAGTACTTGTTGGCCGGGATCTCGGTGACACTCATGCGCAGACACGCCCTCAGCTGGTCAAACGCCTCGAAATAGCCGACGGTCTTGACCTGATCGGGTGCCTTGCCGTTGTTGACAATCTTCATCCCGCAGTTGGAAATACAGCCGTTGGTGAACGGCTTTGCGGTCCCCGGAGCGCCAGTATCCGCGGGAGACTCGGTGCAGAAGTCGACCGTTGTTCCGCAAAATCCCCAGACATCGCAGCATGCATTAAGGGGACATGGATTGAGATCCGCGAGTGCGGTTCCGTCGGAAGGCTTCTGGGTCCCCGGGACCTGCGGACCGCAGGTGGCTCCCGGGATCGGCGCGGGCATAGGAGGCTTTCCCTCGCTGAGGCAGATGAGTTGGCCACTCTGCAGCCCCCGCGCACAGCCGGCCCAGCCCCAGGTGTTCTTGTTAAAGTCTTCAATATCTTGCTGGTTCAGGTAGTGCGCGTTTGCCAGGTCCCAGCATCCATCGTTGTCGTTGACTTTATACGTGTTGCAGGTGCCGTCGGGTTGGGGCTGAGGGCGAAAGTCTGGCAGAGTGCCTGCGGTGCAGCACACGTGCTGTTTGGGCTTCAGGGTCGAGCACAGGTTCGCTTGCGGGTTGTATTTGTTCAGGTCATCTCCAGAGATGCCGCAGCGGCTGGCCAGCGAGGGGCAACTGTCACCCCCAAGGACCTCCTCTGTCCTGCACCAATCTCTTGGGAGAAGGGCTCGTGGACCTCCTCTGGCGGTCATGTTGTGGGAGATGGTAGTCGCATTGGTAGGAGCATTGAAACTCGTATCCACGGTGGACACGAGCACGTCCATGCTGACGGCGGTAGCAGGAATGGTCCCGTCCAGGCAGAGACCATTGTTCCAGCCTTTGACGGCATCTTGGGCCGCTGCCAGATCAACGAAGCCAGCAGAAACCACTCCAACCGTCAGGGCAGCACTGGCAGGCTGGCAAATCTGCAGGGCAGAAGTTTGCTTTTCCGCAAAAGAATCGACAAAGTTCCGCGCCGCATGTTTGGTGATTTGTGCACCAGCATACAAGCCCACGACGGCAGACTCGTGCTTGGCAAACAAGATGGTGGTGCCGCACTCGGCGCTCCTGTCTACGAACAGGGCCAGTTGACGAGCCGCCTCGGCCACATGAGCAGACTGCGGAGCAGCGCCGGACGCCTTGCTAAGCGTCAAAGGGCCAACTTGGGGAGTGAAGGCTGTCTTGACCGCCTTGGCGCCGCAGCTTTCAGCGACAACGAGGTTGGGTTGGCTTTGCTGCTGAGGCACATCGGGGGAGGCGGCAGCCTCGTACGTCTGGCCTGGGCTGGCCACGCAGGCGCGGATGGTGAGGATGGTGTTTGGATCGGCGACAGAGTTTTGGATATTAAAACCAAAGAGGACAGTCTGATCACAGCTCTCCAGATTGCGGAGATGGTGGATGTTGGTCCAGTTGGCCGGACTGGGACCGGCATCAGCACACAGACTGGGACAGTCGTCAGCATACTGGCCATGGTAGCTGTCTGTGACGGCTGAGGCGAGGCCCAGCAGAGAGCCAAGGAGGACAAAAGAGAGCCTCATCCTGTTCTCGGAGCCAGTGCTGGCAAGGAATGAGGGAACATGTGAGGAAGAGACAGAGTACTTGGAGGGATTGGTGGTCCATATAATGTACCATGTTGCTGGAGTCCTGGCCCATTCTCTTTCGGGTTATCAAAATAAGCTGACAGTCTCGTTGGGGGTGTCCACTCCCCCCTGATAGATGCATGAGCTCAAGTCTGGGTTGTCCGGMGATTGCAAATCCTCACGAATGCAAGTAAACCTTAGCGACCCTTTTTTTCCCCTTTTGCCTCGGGTTTCCAAGACTATCCAGACTATCCAGACTATCCGGGACTTTAGGCCCCCCAAATACATTAAACAACTATATCAGGGGGCAGTGTTGCCAAGAGCCAAGAGATCCCTCCATGTAACCTTCTGGCTGCTTATGTTGGTAAGCAACGGACTACCGATCATCTCCGAGACCCAGCTCGAAAATTGCATCTCGGGTAATTTCTGTATCATGTCTTTACTTGCCGTGATTAATTCAATTTTCAGTTATTTTTATTTTTTTTTTTTTTTTTTTTGAATTTGGTTTTGGGGAGAAAAGGGGGATGGATCATGTTACCACGCTTGATTGTCGCTGCTGACTCGATTCCTTGTACGGAGTAAGCATCGTGAAAGACCTCGTCTCTATTACTGATGATATATCTCACTCTTTGTGATTTTCTTTCAGATGTATTCAGTCCCTCACACTTTCCCCTCTCTTGAATCCCCATCTTGCTTGCTACAATGGGCTCCGCGGTCAATTCCCCCATCTACATAGACTATGGTGAATTCTTCATGAATAGCAGCAACATCCTTGCTGTCCCCTATGGAGATGTCACCGCTGCCTTCAAGGCACCCGTCGCCGTCCATTCCACAGCCATAGATGGCTTCGACTGGACGCAGCCGTACCCGGGCTCCCACAGAGACGGCCACACGGCATACCTCGAGGTCGCCCAGGAAATGCCCTTGTCTGCGTCTATCGTGCAAAATGCAACCACTGTCCTGTCGTCCTTGACGTTTGGTATTCCCGACAGCATGAGCTCTGGAGGCCAGCCAGTGGCCATGGACCCTTCGTGGTACATCTGTCGCCACGTCTTCATCTCCACCAAACCGGAGGCGAAGCAGGCTGTCGACGGTGGCAGCAGCAAGTGCGATTTCCTCTCCCAGGCATGCCAGGCCGATCTCAGGACCAGCTTGACTCAGGACTGGGGAAAAGCCGCCGACGGCACCATGTGTGCGGCGCTTGGCTTTGACCCCATACCACCGAGCTGTCAGGGCTCGTTTGGCTTCGCCCGCCAGGACGTCATGGCTTTTGACGCCGCCTTCCTCGCAGATCCCGCCCTGGGCCCGGTGCAGACGAGCAAAGAACAGCAACAGTACAGCTGGCGCATCGGCACCGGATACCACGACCCAGGTGATGCTCGTGCCTACGCCATGGCCGCCAACCGGACGTATCTCGTCGCTACTGTCTGGGGCTACAGCCAGAGTGCAAAGTCCAGTCAAGTCCCCGGGGTATCGTTTGCTTGTCTCTCGTCTGGCGCAAGCTACGTCCCGCCCCCTCCGGGTCCTCCATCGTCTACCGTCGCCTTTGGGGATGACTTCTCCAGCGGGTCCATGGCCCAGTGGAAGACTTACGGTGGTTCGTTCGACGCATCCTCGGGTGCCTTGGTGGGAAGCCAATCCTCCGGTGGCAAGGCCCTTGTGAACACCAACTTTGGAGACTTCCTCTACGAGGCCGATGTCACGCTGCCATCGACCTCTGGCAACGCGGGCCTTGTCTTCCGCGCATCCAATCCGAGCATTGGCGCAGATGCCTACAACGGCTACTATGCGGGTCTCTCTACCTCTGGTGTTTTCCTCGGCCGGGCGAGCAATAGCTGGACGCCGCTCGGTAGTTCGTCTGCCGACCTGGCAGCCAACCAGGTCCACCACGTCAAAGTGCAGGCCATGAATAAGGCGCTCGACATTTTTGTCGATGACATGAGCAAGGCCAAGGTCAGCGTCACGGATGGCACGTATTCCAGCGGCATGAACGGCGTGCGAGTCTACGACACCGGTGCCACCTTTGACAACATTCGCATCACGCCGCTGGCGTTTAGCGATGACTTCTCGAGCGGCACCATGGGCAAGTGGACAACTATCGACGGCAATTACCAAGTCTCGTCCAATGCCGCCGTGCTGTCCGCCTCGCCCGGCGCCAGGGCCCTGGCCACCGCCGTCACCTTCAACGACTTGATCTACGAGGCCGACGTCTCCATCGACTCCACTGCCAATGGCAACGGTGGCTTCATCTTCCGCGTCTCCAACGCCAAGGCCGGCGGCCCGGATGACTACAACGGGTACTATGTTGGTATCGGCAACGGATACGTTGTGTTCGGCTTCGCGGACTACGGTTGGAATGAGCTCAAGAACGTTCAGGCTGCAGATATCAAGCCGGGCCAGAAGCATCACTTGATGATTCGGACGAGTGGAGATTCCATTTCGGTCTACGTGAATGACTTGAATAYGCCCAGGATGGTGGTCACGAATGGAAAGTATAGTGCTGGGTTGAGTGGCCTGAGGGCTTACATGACGACCATGTCTGTGAGCAATGTGCGGATTTACACGGCTTAGTTAGAGTATTTCTGTTTGTATTTTCATGGTATTTTCAACTGAAATTTTATGATATGTGAGGTTTCATACTCTTCGGCTTTGCCAACCTTTCACTTACACGGAATACCATAATAGCACCGCTGGACCTATGCTATACTACGCTAGAGTATCTCGCTTCTCCATTTCACCAGATTAGGAAACAGACCCAATATATCACAGTCCCGCATTTAGCGTAATAACCAGTATATCGAAATTGACCCGTTTAGTAGGAGGAACTAGGAATGTAACCCACCCCTACGACTAAGAAGACTAGTGCTTAGTAGAGAGATATCGGTTAGATACAGAACTGTGAGGCATATATCTAGTATATACACGGGTAAATAGGGGCTACAGAGCTAATATCTTATGTAGCAGCCGAGGTATCTAGATAAGACACCACGAACTATATTCTCGTTACAATTGACATGGTTCGAACCGCTACCCAGCCGCAGCCCCCACGCCCGTGCTGGATGCAGGAGGGTCCACTGCTTTTGTTCGGAAATTGCAAAAACCACACGCTGGGCGCCTTATTTTGACTACGTGAGTCTCGAAGTCTTGGCCCCTGGATCCTTGCTCAGTAGATAGATCTTGGCGTCAGCAGGAAAGTGAAAGTAGTGTGAAGACGACTTCTTCTCCTTTGCCTTTGCTTCCCCCCTGCCGGCGCATGACCTATTTAGTAAATTGCTTGCGGTTGCAGCACTTATCATGGAAGGGTCTTGTCTTGGTCGGCCACCCTGACTCACTGGGCGGTCTTTTTTTTGTCTAATCCTTCTTGCAAATTGCCTGTTTTGTATCTCTTTCTTTCTTTGCTAAGGTAGAAATCCAATCATGCTGCCACTTCTGTTCATAGCAGTCTTCCTCGCCGCCGGCGTCACGGCCAACCAAGTCGCCGGCAAATTCCAAGCCCTCTTCTTCTACCAGCTCTACAGGCTCGAAGTGGACGCCCACGGCCTCGCCAACTCGCGCATGGCGCCCGGCTGCGCCAAGGCCGGCGTCGTCTGCAACTTGGAGGAATTCATGAAGGAAGTCTGCAAGATCAAGACCGAACTGCCGCGCGACGCCAACGGCAAATTCATCAAGCCCCCCAAGGGCCAAAAAGCGAACCTCGTCAATGTGCCTGATTTTAGCAAGGTCAACTGGGGCCACATCGGCGAGGGAGAAAACCTCAATGTCTTCAGCGACGAGATTGACAGCTCGGGCTTCAAGGGCGACTTTATCAATAAGAATATCTTCAAGGGCTGGGGTGATAAGAAGGACACTTTTGCAAACGTCATGAGCGAGGCGGAGGATATTGGTGTGAAGGCCATTGCCAAGCTCAACGCTGACGGCAGGCAGCCGGCCGATGACCGGGTCAACAAGATGATCGCTGCGCTGAAGACGCACGGCGATGCTCGGCGCTACGATCAGGCGCTGAAGATCACCAAGGCGTTTGAAGAGGAAATGACGAGGAAAGGGTTCACCGTCGCGTACACTGATCCCATAGAGAGGCCGCCGGTGCCGGGGTACCGGAAGATTGACGCGGACCGGACCATCAGCGATAACCAGGGCAATGCGGGTTTTAACGACAAGGTGGAGAAGGTGGTGAAGGAATATGTCTCCAAGTACAATAGCGCGGGACTATCGAAGAGCCATGTTGAGTCTATTACGAAGACCGAGGAAGTGCATAAGCATCTTGCCGAGGCGTGTAAAGCATGACCATCTTGCTGCGAAGGGTGGTGGACTGTTGGTTATATAGCTATCAGTATAGACTATTTAATAAGTCCCAAAATTCTTTGGAAGTCGCTCTTTTATGTAACACGCATTCGTACAATATCGCACCATGATCCGCGGCCGCAGCTTGGGGGCGCTCTGCCTCGCTTGCTTGACCCATGGATGCTCCTCATCGGGCAAATACTCGGACATCCTGAGGAACTCTTGCTCCGAGAGGTAAGGGACCCACGCGGAGCCCGGGTCCGTCCCAAGAATGTCGACGTTGTCCATTCGTGCTCGCTGCCACATGTACGCGAGGAGGATCCATTCCGCTTGTCGTTTCCATGCTTCCACGGCCGTCTGGAATCGAGAACTGGTAAAGGCTTCGAAGAGCGTCTGCACGGCCGGTTCCTTTTCCGATGCGTGTTCCCTGAATAACGCTTGGAATTCCCTCAACCGAGCCTCGTCGCCCACATCCACCATCTGAACAGGGGCATCGCCCAACAACCCGAACAGGCCAGACCTCAGAGCCGCTTCCCTGGGGATATGCAGAGAAACCGCCGCCATGGCGATGTCGAGCCTGCTTTGACTTTCTGCGCAATACGCAATGTCGGCCACGTCGTTATTTCTTCCGTTGTGATAGAGAAGCCACGGGCTGTTGGACGCATCCGCGCCATCCAGCAGCGCCTTCAAGCTAAACGGGTGAATGATCTCCGCCACGACAGACGGCTGCATCCCCAGATCCTCCGCCCGCCACAGGAACATGGCGATCGGACTCGAAGGGTCGTCAGCGTTTCCCCAGACATTGTAGCGCAGTCGCGTCCAGTTGAGATGCAGCACATCCCGACGCGGCTGCACCCAGATCGACTCCAGGCTCGTCGTCTCTTGCAGGTCCAACCAGCGTCCCTCTTCTAGCGCAACTTGCCGCGACTCGCTGGTGACGAATGCGATGGCTGGCGGCTGAGCGTTTTGGTACGTTATGCGGTCGGCCCAGCAGGCTTGACGCGATTCGTTGCCGTCGAGAAGGAAGTCGGGGGTGTCTTCTTCTGCTATACGATGCGGTAGGCAGTGCGTCCAGATGAGACGGCGTAGTTCTAGAGGCAGCTGCGAAAAGTAGTGGAATGAGTCGTTGTTCATCTTTACGCTGTAGCGGTGTCAAGAAGTAAATAGAAGACAAAGGTGGGCATGCATCCGATGTAGATATGGTGGCCCTTGGCCCTAATGGTCGGGCGGCGGGCCGATCCTAGCCCGACCACTGAGAGTGGTTTCTGCCCTTGGTGACAAAAATCATGTATTAATACTCGACTATAGTACTGCATGACTCTGGTGCATTTAGGTATGCCATTTTTCAAAGCGATACAGACAGGATGGTTCCACGCCCTTGGAACCCTTATGTTCGACTCCGATGGCGCGATGGGCCGTTTTATCTCCAGGAGCGGAATTAGGGCTCACCTCGGACATTACCTGCAGTCTTACCAGCATTGATCAGGGGGAAATGCGGCAGGATCCCTGTCCTCTTGTAACAGCATGGCCCTTCCTGTCGTGATACTTGGTCAGAAGCAAGACCACGGGGTCCGGATGCATCATATCTCCCTCGATCGATGCTTCACCTGGGCGAAGACCTCGGAGGGTCATCGACTTGTCCCATACCTCGCTGGCTGGGGCTACGCGCGTATATCGATGGTAGAACTGTGCTCGCTAATGATGATGACACGGCGTAGTTCTGCTGGAAATCGGCTATGGCGGACCATCAGCAGTATCTTCAAGAAAGAGGTCGACAAAGTGGCAAGTAGCGGGAAATTGCCGGAACCAGTGAGGATAAGGAAAGCCTTGCTCGATAGAGCCAGGGAAGATATCCCCAGGGAGATGGGAGAGAGCTATGCACGAGCAGTGGCAAGATGTCTGCTTCCGAAGACGGAGGCTCAGACACTTCGTCAACAGCGAGGCTCCATTGCTAAGATTCTTGAGGTCTAGATACATTCAGATATACGCTACACAATGTTACCTGGAGATGATCAAAGATGTCCATAGCTTACAAATGGATGATCCCCTGATCCCCCTGGAGCAAGAAGTTATGGCACTGAAAGAGATTTGCCTGAAATCAAAATTGCTCAGGAATGAAGGGGCTAGTTATAGAGGTAAATATAAGTGGCTTAGTTTAAGGGAGGTCCTAGAACTTATTTAGACCCACTACGATATATGGATTGGAATATCCTGCAAAGGACCCTATTTTATAACTAAGAAGATCTTTTATGTTTTAAGTATCTTGTGAATGGAGCTATAAGATTCAGGTCTCTTAACTAATACGTCTATAGCAACTGCAAAGTCCTCTTAGGAAAGAGCAGGCAGCACATACACAGCTCATTAAGTGCATATGATTAGCGCAAATGCAACACTGGAACTGGTGGCTATAGAAAGACTAGGGGAGTAGGGGCGGTAGTAAGGTATATTTAACCTTAGTGTTATTAGAAGTTATAGGATCTGCATCTTACTCTTTTAGAAGGGAAAGTCAAGTAAGTGAATAATATAGAAGTCTCCCTGTGGAACTATAGCTCTAAAGCTATAGGTTTTAGTATAAGTCTAGGATCACCAGGCAATGCACCTTTCCCCCCCCCCCCCCCCCCCCCCCCCCTTATAATCTAGGTAAGTTCACTGGAAGCTAAAAAGGGGGTGACATAATTAGCTTAGCCAGCTCAACAACTGGTTAAGGCTGACGGCTGGAAAGGAAACTGCAAAGTAGAGATAAGAGGAAAGAGGGGAGGCACAGCCGCAATTTCTAATGGGAAAAAAGAGGGGTGTTAGTAATAGCTATCTAGCTAGATGAAACAACAGGAGCAACTGGAAGGGTGTAGATTATTTAGGGGGATAGGGGGAAAGAAGAAGTTAGGAGAGAGGATGGTTAGAACAGTGAAGGGACAGTTCTTATATACTAGAGGTCATTATGCGGGGGGTGTTTACAAGATGTTGTATTGGGAGACCATACCCAAAACAGTAAAAGGAATTCAGTGATTCACAGGTCCTCGCTTTACAACTCAAATACCGGCCTGCGGGGTCTCCAGCCAAGACGCGGTATTAGGGTACATTATGGAGAACGCGCTGCACTGCCCAGACTTTCAGCTCACCCCAGACGCGGCAGTCTCCCGGGATTACTTTATCCAGGTCTTGAAACAATGGCTGCCATGTTTCAGGCGCAATCAACTCGGCAGTCACAGTGATTATTGATATCACTTTTATGGAGTAATGTGGGGGAGTGGTTAGCGGGGTTGATCTTCGCATTGTAGCTAACCTTTTTCATATATGCTTGCGACTTAGCCGAGACTAGGCTGTGCATAACTTGAGCCTGACATGTTGCACCGTTTCTGTCTAACCATTTTCGTATGTGGTTGCGATGGATCGCTCATCTATTCACATTTGGACCATTCACAGGTTGAGCTTTCTGTGCCTCGCAAGGTAGTTCCATGGAGGTAAGTTTGGTTGATCCACTCACACATGTCGGAGTCCGGGTCAGCCTCTTCGCCGAAGCATCAACATATCTCCAGAATAGCGAGGTTGTCATCATCACATTCTGAGGGGTAGCCTGGAAAACCTACATCGGCATGTGGTATAAATAGTCAGCGCTGTGGTCATGGATAACCTTGGTCACACCGGTCTGGACCATTTCTAATTCCAACACTCGGATAATTGCTATTGTCACACAAGTCACCCCCAGGGCACGATACCATGCTGGCCCCTGCTGTCGCAATATTCGTCGCAGTATACGCCACATTCTTGGTCCTCCGTTACTTCCAACAACTCTACAAGCACCGCAAACAGGCCCGATCCCTGCGCTGTCAGCCCGCCGTCGAGGGGGAAGCGGGCATCTTTGGCATCTCTGCGTTTCTACGCCTGAAAAAAGCTGTCAAGGAGAAGAGATGGATCGAGCTTATCGCCGAGCAGTATGGAAAGTACGGTAACACATTTACTCAGTCAATCTTTGGGCGACCGCTGGTAGCTACGATCGAGCCGGAGAATCTCAAGGCTCTGCTCGCGACACAATTCAATGATTTCGAGCTCGGGACAAGACACCGGGAGTTCTACCCGTTGCTTGGAGACGGGATTTTTACGCTGGATGGAGCGGGTTGGTCGCATGCGCGTGCGCTATTACGGCCCCAGTTTACGAGGGATCAGGTGAGTGATTGTTCGCATCGCCTGGAACTGTGCTAACTCCTCAGGTGGCCGACCTGGATTTGATGAACGGCCACATCTCCAGACTGATCGACTTGGTCCCCAAAGACGGCTCGGCATTCGATATCCAGCGGCTGTTCTTCCTCCTCACGATCGATTCAGCGACTCATTTCCTCTTCGGGGAATCGGTGGGCTCTCTAGACGCTGGCACGGACACCGGCCTTCTGGGCAGATCGGCCGTCGGTAACGCGCAGGGCTTCGCAGAGGCGTTCAACACGGCACAGGAGTATCTCGCCGCGAGGTCCCGAGCCGTCAACTTCTACTGGATGATCAACCCCAAGGAGTTCCGCGACGCCAACAAGCGCGTCCATGAGGTCGTCGACCACTATGTACAGCTCGCCCTCGAGTCGCGGCGGAATCCGGAGAAGAAGCAGCCTGGGGGCCGCTATATCTTTGCTGAGGCGCTGGCGGCCGAGAACGACAATCCGAAGGTGTTGAGAGACAGCATGCTCAACATCCTCTTAGCGGGGCGCGATACAACCGCCAGCCTGCTGAGCTCGACATTCTTCTATCTGGCGCGCCATCCGAACGTGTGGACCAAAATTCGTCAGGTCATTCTCGATGCGTTCGGCGACGCCGAGCACCCCAAAGAGGAGATCACGCAGACCAAACTCAAGGATATTCCGTACTTGCGATATGTGCTGAACGAAGGTATGTCATCCTGAGACAATTCACAGTAGCAAGGTCCTGACAGCCGACCAGTCCTCCGGCTCCTGCCTCCCGTCCCTGCCAACTTCCGCGTCGCCAACAAGGACACAACCTTACCCCTCGGAGGTGGCCCGGACCATAAATCCCCCATCTACATCCGCAAGGGCACAGTGGTCACATACAGTGTATACGCCATGCACCGCCGGACGGACTTCTATGGCCCGGACGCGAACGAGTTCCGACCCGAACGCTGGGAAGAAAATGGCCGACGAGGATGGGAGTATCTTCCCTTCAACGGAGGTCCCAGAATCTGCCTAGGCCGTGAGTCCTCCCTTCTTTCACACGGCTATACTTCGTAACTAACATCTGCAGAACAATACGCACTCACCGAGGCCAGCTTCACGATTGTCAAATTACTCCAGCGGTTCGATCGGATTGAGAACGCAGATCCGCCGGACCTTGTTGAGCCAATTCAGCAGACGAATCTAACTCTGGCGCATGATAGAGGTGTACATATTAGACTGTACCCGTCGAAGGCACTTTGACAGGGTCATATAACGAAGCACGGCTTACGACAACCTGAAGTATCTCGGCTCAATCAATTTGATTTACTAGCTTAATAAATATACCTACTATATAGTCTACTAAATAACTTGCCGACTGATGTTCATAATTGACATTTGTATCCCCAGAATACCAGACCCAGGTACATCCAAAAGAGGAAAGTGATCGAAGCGCCACATGTGGCTGGTGCTGTGGCGTAGATTACCTCCATGATTCGCCGGGAGAGATGGGCTGGATTTCCGCCGTTGACACCATCGAATCACTTCAACTATCGGTAGAGTAGAACACACTCAGACCTTAGGAGGATCTCACTGGAGCGCCATAATCATCTCGACGCATTTCAGCTTTTCTAGAATCTTGTCCTCTCAGTGAGACAGTGTCCCAGACCAATCAAAATCAAGATCAAGTAACGGCGCTATCTGAATTCCGGCCTTTCGTCGGAACAACAATCAGCTCCTCCTCTCATCGCTCCTTAACATCCGTCTTTGGAGCCGGTGTATACTCCCTTGCTGCAGGTTCTTCTTGCGAGGAGTTTAGCAAAATCAAGTGACTCAGCATTCATCCCATCTCACTGAACGGTCAATCAATATGGCCTCTACTTCAAAACCCAGTTCACAACCGCCTGCGACAGGTGTCATTGTCCCTAAAATGGAGCATCCTCCTCAGGATACAAACCTCAGCGAGATTCCTGACAAGGACAATGCTAGCGGTGAAGCCTGGACCTCGGAGATGCAGTATGTGTCGTCGCTGGCGAAGTTGCAGAAGATGGAGGCGACGGTTCGTCTTCCCTCCCCTTGGTTAATTGCAGTTCAAGCTGACAAGTGCAGATCCATCAACTGCGGACTCTACTCTCTGGGCGTCTCATGGAGCCGATAGTCCCTATCGTCAACCCCAAGGCGGCTTCGAGGAGGCCACTGCCAAAGTCGCCGCGGGTGCTCTCTGAACAGCTCTCGCAGACAGCACGCGCGAGCGTTGCAGAGGTCCAGGAGTTCCAGGCGATGTGGCGCAGCCCGGAAATGAAAGCCATCTGGGACCATGTGGACGCTCGGATCAAGCAGAACGGGGGCCAGCTGTTGCAGCCGACGGGGATGTGGGAGCGGGACTATGATGTTCTTCTTGAGGAGCTTGAGAAAGAGGAGCGGGCGCAGAAGGAGCAGCAGCAGAAGGTTAAGGAGGAGGAGGAACGCGCGAAGATTCAAGCGGTTGAGGGGGGCTGGAGGACGATTGTGGAGACGTTCATACAACGAAACTTACCGAGTGTCCGGGTGATGGCTCATCAGGACCAGCCCAGGATCACCGTTGTCCTCGTCAAGGCCGGCATGGTATTCCAGCTGCAGGCGGTCGATGGGGATGGACATGATATGGTCGATTGGCGCGTTCAGACCACGGCGGCCCCTGGGAAACCGAAGACGAAGCTGGAGACGGCGGTGGCAGCTTGCCTGAATGCTCGTCCGCGGCAATGGGATCTTGCGTATCTACTGGTAAGTTTGCATACTGAATCAGACACAACAAGACAAGTCTAATCTCAATTCAGGATA